GTTAGACATTGCCATCATGACGAGCAGTGTGCTGAATATAGGACTTGGTGGACGTGTTAGACATTGCCATCATGACGAGCAGTGTGCTGAATATAGGACTTGGCGGACGTGTTAGACATTGCCATCATGACGAGCAGTGTACTGAATATAGGTCTTGGCGGACGTGTTAGACATTCTAGGAATTGGCCGACGTGTTAGACATTGCCATCATGACGAGCAGTGTGCTGAATATAGGACTTGGCAGACGTGTTAGACATTCTAGGACTTGGCGGACGTGTTAGAGATTGCCATCATGACGAGCAGTGTATCGAATATAGGACTTGGTAGACGTGTTAGACATTGCCATCATGACGAGCAGTGTGCTGAATCTAGGACTTGGTGGACGTGTGAGACATTGCCATCATGAAGAGCAGTGTGCTGAATATAGGACTTGGTGGACGTGTTAGACATTGCCATCATGACGAGCAGTGTACTGAATATAGGACTTGGTGGACGTGTTAGACATTGCCATCATGACGAGCAGTGTGCTGAATCTGGGACTTGGTGGACGTGTTAGACATTGCCATCATGACGAGCAGTGTGCTGAATCTAGGACTTGGTGGACGTGTTAGACATTGCCATCATGACGAGCAGTGTACTGAATATAGAACTTGGCGGACATGTTAGACATTGTCATCATGATGAGCAGTGTGCTAAATATAGGACTTGGCAGACGTGTTAGACATTGCCATCATGACGAGCAGTGTACTGAATAGAAGACTTGGTGGATGTGTCAGACATTGCCATCATGACGAGCAGTGTACTGAATATAGGACTTGGTGGATGTGTTAGACATTGCCATCATGACGAGCAGTGTGCTGAATCTAGGACTTGGTGGACGTGTTAGACATTGCCATCATGACGAGTAGTGTACTGAATATAGGACTTGGCGGACGTGTTAGACATTCTTGGAATTGGCGGACGTGTTCGACATTGCCATGATGACGAGCAGTGTGCTGAATATAGGACTTGGTGGACGTGTTAGACATTGCCATCATGACGAGCAGTGTACTGAATATAGGACTTGGCGGACATGTTAGACATTGCCATGATGATGAGCAGTGTGCTAAATATAGGACTTGGCGGACGTGTTAGACATTGCCATCATGACGAGTAGTGTACTGAATATAGGACTTGGCGGACGTGTTAGACATTCTTGGAATTGGCGGACGTGTTAGACATTGCCATCATGACGAGCAGTGTGCTGAATATAGGACTTGGTGGACGTGTTAGACATTGCCATCATGAATAGCAGTGTGCTGAATATAGGACTTGGCGGACGTGTTAGACATTGCCATCATGACGAGCAGTGTACTGAATATAGGTCTTGGCGGACGTGTTAGACATTCTAGGAATTGGCCGACGTGTTAGACATTGCCATCATGACGAGCAGTGTGCTGAATATAGGACTTGGCAGACGTGTTAGACATTCTAGGACTTGGCGGACGTGTTAGAGATTGCTATTATGACGAGCAGTGTACTGACTATAGGACTTGGTAGACGTGTTAGACATTGCCATCATGACGAGCAGTGTGCTGAATCTAGGACTTGGTGGACGTGTTAGACATTGCCATCATGAAGATCAGTGTGCTGAATATAGGACTTGGCGGACGTATTAGACATCGCCATCATAACGAGCAGTGTACTGAATATAGGACTTGGCGGACGTGTTAGCCATTGCCATCATGACGGGCAGTGTACTGAATATAGGTCTTGGCGGACGTGTTAGACATTCTAGGACTTGGCGGACGTGTTAGACATTGCCATCATGACGAGCGGTGTGCTGAATATAGGACTTGGCAGACGTGTTAGACATTCTAGGACTTGGCGGACGTGTTAGAGATTGCCATCATGACGAGCAGTGTACTGAATATAGGACTTGGTAGACGTGTTAGACATTGCCATCATGACGAGCAGTGTGCTGAATCTAGGACTTGGTGGACGTGTTAGACATTGCCATCATGACGAGCAGTGTGCTGAATATAGGACTTGGCGGACGTGTTAGACATTGCCATTATGACGAGCAGTGTACTGAATATAGGACTTGGTGGACGTGTTAGACATTGCCATCATGACGAGCAGTGTACTGAATATAGGACTTAGTGGACGTGTTAGACATTGCCATCATGACGAGCAGTGTGCTGAATCTAGGACTTGGTGGACGTGTTAGACATTGCCATCATGAAGAGCAGTGTGCTGAATATAGGACTTGGCAGACGTGTTAGATGCTCTACGAATTGGCCGACGTGTTAGACATTGCTATCATGACGAGCAGTGTACTGAATATAGGACTTGGTAGACGTGTTAGACATTGCCATCATGACGAGCAGTGTGCTGAATCTAGGACTTGGTGGACGTGTTAGACATTGCCATCATGAAGAGCAGTGTGCTGAATATAGGACTTGGCGGACGTGTTAGACATTGCCATCATAACGAGCAGTGTACTGAATATAGGACTTGGCGGACGTGTTAGACATTGCCATCATAACGAGAAGTGTACTGAATATAGGTCTTGGCGGACTTGTTAGACATTCTAGGAATTGGCCGACGTGTTAGACATTGCCATCATGACGAGCAGTGTGCTGAATATAGGACTTGGCAGACGTATTAGACATTCTAGGACTTGGCGGACGTGTTAGAGATTGCCATCATGACGAGCAGTGTACTGAATATAGGACTTGGTAGACGTGTTAGACATTGCCATCATGACGAGCAGTGTGCTGAATCTAGGACTTGGTGGACGTGTTAGACATTGCCATCATGACGAGCAGTGTACTGAATATAGGACTTGGCGGACGTGTTAGACATTGCCATCATGATGAGCAGTGTGCTAAATATAGGACTTGGCAGACGTGTTAGACATTGCCATCATGGCGAGTAGTGTTCTGAATATAGGACTTGGCGGACGTGTTAGACATTCTTGGAATTGGCGGACGTGTTAGACATTGCCATCATGACGAGCAGTGTACTGAATATAGGTCTTGGCGGACGTGTTAGACATTCTAGGACTTGGCGGACGTGTTAGAGATTGCCATCATGACGAGCAGTGTACTGAATATAGGACTTGGTAGACGTGTTAGACATTGCCATCATGACGAGCAGTGTGCTGAATCTAGGACTTGGTGGACGTGTTAGACATTGCCATCATGACGAGCAGTGTACTGAATATAGGACTTGGCGGACGTGTTAGACATTGCCATCATGATGAGCAGTGTGCTAAATATAGGACTTGGCAGACGTGTTAGACATTGCTATCATGGCGAGTAGTGTTCTGAATATAGGACTTGGCGGACGTGTTAGACATTCTTGGAATTGGCGGACGTGTTAGACATTGCCATCATGACGAGCAGTGTACTGAATATAGGTCTTGGCGGACGTGTTAGACATTCTAGGAATTGGCCGACGTGTTAGACATTGCCATCATGACGAGCAGTGTGCTGAATATAGGACTTGGCGGACGTGTTAGACATTGCCATCATGACGAGCAGTGTACTGAATATAGGACTTGGTGGACGTGTTAGACATTGCCATCATGACGAGCAGTGTACTGAATATAGGACTTAGTGGACGTGTTAGACATTGCCATCATGACGAGCAGTGTGCTGAATCTAGGACTTGGTGGACGTGTTAGACATTGCCATCATGAAGAGCAGTGTGCTGAATATAGGACTTGGCAGACGTGTTAGATGCTCTAGGACTTGGTGGACGTGTTAGACATTCTAGGACTTGGCGGACGTGTTAGACATTGCCATTATGACGAGGAGTGTGCTGAATCTAGGACTTGGTGGACGTGTTAGACATTGCCATCATGACGAGCAGTGTGCTGAATATAGGACTTGGCGGACGTGTTAGACATTGCCATCATGACGAAAACAATGCCTTGGAGAGCAGGAAATACATTTTAAATGGTAAATCATCATGTCTAGTGATGTTTTATATCAAATTTCATACTTTTAGTGACCAAGTTTGTTATACCTGTTTATTCACCTGAATTCGCTGAACCGATATGATGTGGTATTTTTGAAAGCGCATATTAATACTCGAAAAATCTTTTTTCACATTATGAATCATAACTTCTATTCTAATCTTTTTTGAAACTCTGAAACGTGCAACGTAGATAGTGTTAGGTAGGCAGAGCATGTACCGGTATACTGTTTTGCTGGTCACCTACCACCTACGCCTCGACCTTCGTTAAACCGCTGATCATCTATAACATTGTAGATGTCAATAAAGCATACATATCCCTCTGCATTCAGTTAGGTGATTTTGGGCAGATATCATTTGTCATACGATCTTCATCATGGAGGAGAAGGTACCATATTCTGGGAGTGGAAACTATTTTTGAGAATAGATGCCATGTTCAGACACAAGAAAACTGTTCTTCTCCCACCACCAGCACAGATAAGGCCACCGGTAACCATGAAACTGCACCACCATTAACAGCAGATACTTCTTACTGAGACCCAGTGTGACCCAAGTCAACATGGAGTCAACATCAGGTTCAGAATATGGGGGACACTTCTCCAGATATGATAATATGCAGAGAGACAGAAGTGAGTGAGTGAGTGAGTATGGTGTTACGCCGCTGTTAGCAATATTCCAGCAATATCACGGTGGGGGACACCAGAAATGGGCTTCACACATTGTACCAATGTCGGGAATCGAACCCGGGTCTTCGGCGTGACGAGCGAACGCTTAAACCACTAGGCTACCCGACCGTCCTCAGAGAGACAGAAGACAGATTCATGTCCCCCTTCATCCTTACTCAGATGCATGACAACTCTCATCCACATCAGCATGTGAGGCAAACGCTCTGACAAGCGAAAGCTTCATAGTGATATCGTCTTAAACCATGTATCTAGTTTGTTGTAATTACCAGACGTCACTGCATATCATATTGATAAAACAACATTTGATATATATAATGTATTACCATTAGTTCAACTCTTTAAAATACTGACAACATTGTAAAAGGTTTACTGAGTATTAAATGGATAAAAACATAACATATTCAATATATTACCATCAAAACAGGTCTGTAAAGTGTATAACAGTGTAAAAAAGATGCCTGCATAGGAAAAGAATTAATTAAAACTGCTAAATAATAAAGATAATATATATAGAACTACACAACCTGGATATACACATTGACAAAATCATTGATAAATATCTATCTTCGGGACATTATGTCACGGCAATGATAGATCCTGAAACATCAGGGTGACTGTCACACAGTAATAGAACAACATGATGCCCCTTCAATAATGAGGTCAGTGTCATGCATTTTTGGTCCTCTTGTGTGGACCACAGAATACTCTTCAATCATGAGGTTAGTGTCATGTATTTTTGGCCATCTCCTGAGGACCACACAATGTCCCTTCATTCAGTACGTTGGTGTCACATAGTTTTGGCCATCTCCTGAGGACCACACAATGTCCCTTCATTCAGTACGTTGGTGTCACATAGTTTTGGCCATCTCCTGAGGACCACACAATGTCCCTTCATTCAGTACGTTGGTGTCACATAGTTTTGGCCATCTCTTGTGGACCACACTATACCCTTTCTTTCAGTAGGTCGGTGTCACATAGTTTTTGGACATCTCTTGTGGACCACACTATACCCTTCATTCAGTAGGTCGGTGTCACATAGTTTTGGACATCTCTTGTGGACCACACTATACCCTTCTTTCAGTGGGTCAGTGTCATGTATTTTTGGCCATCCTTTGTGGACCAGACTATGCCCATCCATTCAGTAGGTTGGTGTCACATATTGTCGGCCATCTCTTGGGGACCACACTATGTCCTGTCATTCAGTAGGTCGGCATCATATATTTTGGGCCATCTCCTGTGGAACACACTATGTCCCTTCAGGCAGGAGAGAGGTACCTTTTATTTGGCCATCCTCTGTGAACACAGTGTGCCATCATTCAATAGGTTGGTGTTACACATTTTTTGCCATTTCGTGTCCACCTCACTGTGTCTTTCATTCAGTCGGCAAGTGTCACATACTTTGGGCCATCTCCCGTAGACATGACTATTAATCTCCAGGTGCTGGGTCAGTGTCAAATATTTTTGCCGATTTCTTGTGAACCACACTGTGTCGCCTCATGTGATAGTTGTCGAGGAACTTCTTCCCACAGGTTGGACACTCATACTTCTTCTCCAGTTCCTTGCCCTCGTGTCTTGCCTTGTGCTTCTTAAGAGCTTCTGCTTTCAAGAATCGTTCTCCACAAATCTTACACTGGTATGGCATCTCCCCAGTGTGCAGACGCATGTGGCGCTTGAGAGTGCAGGCAATATGGAACCTCATACCACAGACCCGACATACGTACATCTTCTCCCCATGAAACTTCATGTGTTTTCGAAGCTCTACGACTAATTTCCCGCAGATATTACACTTCTTCTTATTAACATTGCTCCTTGCCTTACTGTTGGTGGACCTTTCTTTGGATGTCGTTAAATCCTTTGTTGGGCCTGACCTTTCTTTGGACGTCTGTAAATCCTTTGTTGGGCCTGATCTTCGCTTGGATGTCGGTAAATCCTTTGTTGGGCCTGACCTTTGCTTGGATCTCTGTAAATCCTTTGTTGGGCCTGACCTTTGCTCGGATCTCTGTAAATCCTTTGTTGGGCCTGATCTTCGCTTGGATGTTGGTAAATCCTTTGTTGGGCCTGAATCTAATGTTGGGTTTAGGGTCTGTTTAGGAATGATTGCATGGGCTTTCTGTGTGTGGACATTAAGTAGTTCGCGGCTGGTGAAGCTTTCCAGACACTGATCACAATCGAAGGACTGTAACATGTTCTTGGTTCTCTGTTCTTCAGACTCTGAGTCAAGAGACTTCTTATTTGGGTTCTCGTGGGTCAATTCATGTCCAGTTTTTGTGCTCAGCTGGGCAAATCGTTTCCCACAATATATACAAACATGGGGCTTCCTGCCGGTGTGGATATTCATATGATCAGCTAATGCACCATATTGACTTAACACTTTGCCACATATTTCACAGGTAGCCGATTTCAGAGTTGCTGCTGTATGGCGGCGCATGTGGTAAACTAGAGTGCTTCTAAAATTAAAGCGTTTCTCACATACTGGACACTCTATCGGCTTCTCCTCTAAGTGTACCACCATGTGTTTTCTAAGATATTCATGTGAGGCATATTGTCTGCCACACACCTCACACTTGTTCAAGTTGGAATCTACATGCAACTTCAAGTGAGTGAAATAATTTTCACGAAGGGTGAACATCTTTCCACACTTGGAACACTCCCAGCGTCCTCTGAGACTGTGCCATCTATGGTGACTTTCCAACATTTTAAAATGATCAAATCGCTTGTCACATTGATCACACCAGTAAGGGGTTGGTTCACCCGCATGCTCCCTCATATGGCCTTGGAACAGAGCAAAGACTTTGACTGTTTTACCGCATATTTCACAAACATGTCTGTGTGGCTTCCTTTTACGCTGTTTCTTTGAGTTCCTGGCAGATTTTGCAGGTGCTTCTTTGTCCACAATAGAGTCAGTGGTATCAGTCCCAGTATGTTCACTGGATTTCAAAGTCTTTCCCAGAGATGAGTATGTCCTCTTTCCAACGGCAACATAGTCTGGGTGTTTCTTGCTTCTGTGTCTCCTAAGTCCACCTTTCGTCAAGAATTGCATCCCACATACTCCACAGGAATTAGGCTTTGTGCACACTGCTATTATCTGACTGCTTGGGGTCTCTTTGGGAATGCTTGCATGGGTTTCCTGTGTGTGGCCATCAAGAAGTTCCAGGCTGGCAAAGCTCATGAGGCACTTGTCACAGTCGAAGGACTGTTCTTCAGACTCTGAGTCAAGAGACTTCTTACTTGGGCTCTCGTGGGTCATTTCATGTCTATTTTTGCTGCTCAGCTGGGAAAATCGTTTCCCACAATATATACAAACATGGGGCTTCCTGCCGGTGTGGATATTCATATGAACAGTTAATGTACTATTTTGACTAAACACTTTGCCACATATTTCACAAGTAGCCGATTTCACTGTTGCTGCTGTATGGCGGCGCATGTGGTAAACTAGAGCATGTCTTAGATTAAAGCGTTTCTCACATACTGGACACTCTATCGGCTTCTCCTCGGAGTGTTTAAGAAGATTAGCAGACAAAGCAGGTTGTTTGCCAAGCACATCATACTTGTTCACGTTGGAATCTTCATGGATCTTCAGGTGAGAGAAATATTTATCCTCATGGGTGAACACCTTACCACACTTTGAACACTCCCAGCGTCCCTGGAGAGTGTGCTGCCTCTTGTGATTGTCCAATCTGCTGTAATGGTCAAATCGCTTGTCACAAAGATCACACCAGTAAGGGGTAGGTTCGCCAGCATGCTCTCTCATATGGCCTTGGAACAACACAAAGTCTTTGATCTTTTTACCGCATATTTCACAAGCGTGTTTGTGTGACTTCCTTAAATGCTGCTCCAGATCCGAGGAAGAGAATCTTTTCTTACAAACAGGACACTCTTTCAAGGCCGTCTTCCTGCTCCTCTTCTTCCTCTGTTGTTTGGTACGGTTGGGGGAGGATTGTTGTCGCGACACGACTTTTCCAGCCGCCTCATCCTGAAGTGGTACTCCAGGATCAATTACAGAAGGGTATGAACTAAAAGGATCTGTCTCCAAGGGTTTAAAATAAGGATTAACGGATTCATTAGCTGTTGCAAGATTCATGTTCACTTGAGCATTATCAGATTCCAATTGTTCATCAGGGTTTTCAGCTTGTGTGGGAAATGGCAGAATCCCGGACACGTCGACACAAGCTTCTGTCATTATACTAACATCACTGTTGCAAGCATTTATAGCAGAGACCACCTTAGCGACATCACTGCCATGATGAGATATGACTGAGCCACACTCTTCATCTGAATCACACCCTTCCTTTTTTATCAGTATCCCTGAATTGGCTGGCTCGTGTGCATTTCCATCACTGTCGTCAACCCCTCCACCACCATCCCCGTCGTCAATCTCATCAACATGAACCCCATCATCATCATCATTTTCAGACTCGCCATGTGGGCTAGAGTTCCTTGTGTGTTCAAGGTTCCTCTTCAAAACATTCAGTTTTTCCTTATTATTTCTACTGTTGCTGTTTCTCCCTGCCGTGTTTACAACTGGACTAAGTGTTCTGTTCCCATCTGGTATTGCATGCTTCACCTGATTGGTTGTCCTGGGGTTACTTGGATGGAAGTCGGGGCTGATCTTGACTTCATCGTGTACAGACTGCCTTTGTATTATCAGGTATTCTTCAGCATGTACTTCATCACCTGAGCTGTCCTCGATATCAGTCATAGGGGTGACTTCATTATCAGATTGTATGACCAGATCATCATAACAGTCTTCTTGGGGTCCACCATTACTCGCAGGTTGACCAGCACCATCTGTACTGGTAAGTTGCATCTTGAACATAGCAGCTAGTGGCACTGGTCACGGTTCAAGGGAGGTAACTCTGATGTTCAAAATATGCAAGTGTTATTGAAGTCTTCAAGCTTTTATTGAGGGGACTTGTTGACTGCACTGAAACAAATATGTCAGATATACTTACTAATGAAACCCTCCATCATAAAACAGTCGTTAATCATATGCCAATTACATAGAGATATATTCTAAACCCATCATGTTATTAGACACAGAGACCATATACCGATCGGTATATGGTCTCTGTTAGACATGAACATGGAGCAACAGTTAAAATATTCATATACAATGTACAAAACTTTCCTAGGGCAGTGATCTGTTGATATGAGAACCTTTTATATTGAAATACAAAATTAAACAACACTCTTTTCTGCCCAAACATGTGAATAAGTGAGTATGGTTTTACACAGCTCTTAAAAAATATTCAAGCAAATATCAAGGCGAAGGACACCAGAAATGGATTCACACAGTGTACTGATGTGTGGCATTGAATCTGTGTCTTCAGCGTGACAACCACAAGCCTACGTACCCCACTGCCCCTGCCTGAAAACATGACTTTTCATACTTGACAGAATGAGTTTTTTATCAGTGATTTAGAAAAAAAGAACACAGAAAAGCAGTCAATTTGTCATAAATGAATTATTCAACAATAATGTTTGTACTAGCTTTTGTTTGTGATTTTGATACAGAAATTTACCCGATGAAATACAGTGGATATGTAAATGGTAACCGTGTTATATCCCTGTAAACCTATAAAGCAAAGGCTTATGTGGTACAACTAGTTTAGTGTTTTCACTATTATCCTGTGTAGACATTTCTTGGCAATGATACTTCAATATCGACAACAAAAGCCCATCTGGGAGTCTTCACACCTCGAGCCCGTGTACATGTACTGTATTTCCTCTATTAGATGCCTGGGCTTGATCAAATACAGGAATACAGGATTGAAGACAGGTCTCGTAGTGGTATGTCACGGCTACTTGTAAGTGTACATGTTAACCTTTTTAATAATTGTTTTTGGAATGTTTTTAAGGTGGAATTACACCTACCTCCATTTCGAAATTGATTAGAAAAGAACCCACTTGTTGAGACGCAATCCCTTGACCCAAACTAGGTCGTATGCATAGTGACTGTATAATCCAATACAGGAAGTGATGTAAACCATATAATCCATATGTATCACACCACAAAATAGCCATATCGCGATAATATTGAGTTGCCCATTCTTGAGTTGCTAATGACATATACTTTAATTGTTTACCGAACTCGTAAAGAAAATTGGCATCAATCACTCCTAATTGACGTGTCAAAAAAAATTGTATAATGAATAAGAAACATTTTGCGTTTGATATATTTAAAAAGTCTGTAAGCGTTTGCCATTACGATCCATTATAAATGAACTACCACGATAATATAGCGTACGTCCTACTTAGATGACAGCCGTGATGGGGTCCTAGTCATATGTAGGACCCCATCGTGTCTCTCGGCTATCTAATACTGTGATATGTTGGTGATTAATAATCACCGTTTCCTGCAAATGCCCTACCGCATTTGGGATAAGGAAAGGTAGTGAGTTGCCACTGTGCCAGCATTTATAAACAATAGACGCCGGCATTTGGCGAAAACGGCTACTATGTGTCGGGCGAAAACAGCACCTCTATTTTTAATAATGATAAGAACGATTTTTGTAGTAATATATATGGTTTATTTACATGGTATTTGATGTATTTACATGTTACATGTTATTGGATGTATATGATATGTGATGTATTTACACGGACAGGTAAGAGTGAGTGAGTGAGTGAGTATGGTTTTACGCCGCTTTTAGCAATATTCCAGCAATATCACGGCGGGGGACACCAGAAATGGGCTTCACGCATTGTACCCATGTCGGGAATCGAACCCGGGTCCTCGGCGTGACGAGCGAACGCTTTAACCACTAGGCTACCCGACCGCCCCTGGACAGGTAAGAAGTCTGAAGGTAAGAAGGTATGAATAAAAGTTAAAATAAAATATTCGTTATGTTACAAAATTGCAGTTATTCTGAGAATTTATAAAATAGCACTATGTAGTTTATTTTATTATTATTTGTACCTCGAAGTCCAATGTCCTCTGCCTTTTGGGCAAACAGTTCCCGGCAATTTCTTTTTTACGGGCAACAGAGAGTCACGTTCCACATACATGAATGGATGGGTCCACTGGTCACAGTTATCACATGATACAGCATGTTGATTTTTTCAGACATTCTGGTCGCATGCAACACATCGAAAGGCCATTGTGAATAATTGTGATCTAACAGCACCATGTTTGGCCTCTTAAATACAGTTTCAGCTTAAATTGAGAAAAAAGTACTGAAAAAACTTCAATGCGTATAGTGTTTTCACAATAAGTTAACTGCGCCTACCAATCAGAGTTCGCGAGTAAATTGGAGAAGGTGGCTAATTTCTTACTTGTTTTATGTAAGTTTAGTATCATTTATTTGACAAAGGTGTAAAATAATAAGGTGCCGTTTTCGGCAGGCAATGGTAGCCGTTTTCGCTTGAGTCGAGGTGCCGTTTTCGCCCGGTGTCGTTTTGTTGAGGTGCAGTTTTCGCTATAACCCGGGACAAGGGCTTGTGCGAAATATTAATAGACGCCCGTGCGGGGAAATACTAAAAACGTATAAAGACTCTCACTAAACTAATTAATATGAGTAACATAAACTATAAACAACGCCCACTAAATGGCCCCCATTTTTACCCGTTAAAAAAAGCATATTGCAAAGAATTAAAGGATACCTTATCTTCGTGCTAATAATTTGACAGCGGACCAGAGTGCCCCGAGAGTTTGACGAGCGTAGTAAGGAATGCTACTGACTAGTGTTTCTACATGGCGCATGGAACTATGGAACTATGGAACTATGAATTTAATCGACAAACATTTATACAACCTTTGCTACTTGTGTTGGTTTTTTTTACTCCGTTTTGCAAAGGGCGCCAGTACCTCCGCCATTGTCGCTAATAAAGCAGCATATAAAAAGTAGTGACGCGGAACTAAAACGGAAAACAATTTCGATTTTCAGTTCGCTAAGACAAAGTGACAATTCGAACCAGAACTGTCGTGTTAATAATTCTCTGTAATTACGATCACTTGTCCTGCTTCAGTTTAATGTATTATGACTAACATAGTCTGAATTGTGTGCGAATGAATCGCGTATATAGTTAATTAGATACTGTACTGCAGTAGAGTGTACTTGGACCTGTAGTATCACGTATGAGTACTGCTTCTCAATCCAACGTAGCGTGTATGTTGTATATAATGATGCTGCGATATTTAAATCAAACTGAGATGTTTATATCAATGTCAGTCAGGGGGCACGGGTGGCCCAGTCGTCTAAGGCGCAGCAATTCGTGTGCAGAGTTGCGTCCCTTAGGCATGCCAGGAACCTATGATTGTGGGTTCGAATCCCGGTTCGCCCCAATTATGTTTCTAGGCTTGTCAGCACCATTACCGTGCTCGTGGGTTTCAACAAAGTGGGAAACGCCTGAGACCTGCATCACGTTGGGCTTTCCTCCCACATGATATCAAATAAAGTGTAAGTATCATTAATAGTAAGAGATGTTTCTCAAACCATTATGTAGCCAGTATGGTGTACAAAACAATGGCCGGGAAAAAAGGGTGAAAACGTAAACTTGGCGCTTTTGCGCTTGATTAAATGTACGTATGTCTGTATTTGTTTGTTTGTCTGTGTGTGTGTGTGTGTGTGTGTGTGTGTGTGTGTGTGTGTGTGTGTGTGTGTGTGTGTGTGTTGTTGTTGTTGTTGTTTAACGTCGCACGCAGCAATAATCCAGCTTTATGACGACGGTCTGTAAATAATAAATATAATAATTTATATATAGATTTATTTGTACAAATTTATAATAATTTTCAGATTTTCAGATACATAAAAATACATGACACTCATAGGACACTCGGGTACATATATTAAAAGTCGGGAACTCCATGGCAGCATCTAGATAAAACTTATGTCGCCATTGACCCTCAAGCTGGATCTCAGAATGGCCTTCTGACAAGACATTAGATCCTCATAAATATATATTATTCTTTTCTTTTAGCACAGATTTATTGCACTAACAACAACACAACATGATTGGTTATCAAAATGGTTCTGTGGGACTCAGAATTGTGAAACTTCAGCTTCTTAGCTAAGAACCAGCGTTCACCTGTCAGGAACAGACCGTAATCCCCCAGCCCTAATCCCCTTAATCCTCCCGAATTTCAGTTTTGAGATAACTGGGAAGACCCCATTTGTAACAACCCAAACGAATCTTAAAAGCGCTAAAGAGGAGGCGTGGCCTAATTAGCATGGCCGACTAGGCCTGCAAGCTGATTGGGTATTACCACCAGCCGGGTACAGGATATACGTGATTGTTTCATCAGTTGTTGGGAGACCTGTGTTGTATATATAATACCGGTATGGATTCCATGTATGTCAAGAGTATGGCTGGTGGGCGTGTCAAGTAACCTTGATTTAACGTGAATCATATAATTTGAACATTGTAAGATATTTTCCATTCCAATTTTAAGGGGCGCGGGTTCTATCACGTAATCAGTCTATGAAATGTCGCTTCATCTTTGCAGCGCTATTTCAAGACTGCACCAGGAAATGGAGATTTGGAGAAACTAAAAAAACCAAACGAACCATGCACTCTTTATTTTGCAATCGCTTGTAATCCATGATTATCCTGATTATTTCCGTTACTATTGTCGGTTTGAGGTAGGGGCTCACTTGTACTTCTTCCGAAATCAACAATTCATCTGACCTGTAAAGATCCGGGTTAGAATAGGTCTTCAGCAACCGATGCTTGCCGTAAAAGGCGACTTTGCTTGTCGTAAGAGGCGACTAACGGGATTGGGTGGTCAGGCTCGCTGACTTGGTTTGATGCATGTCATCGTATCCCAATTGTGTGGATCGTTGCTCATGAAGTCAATAACTGGATTGTCTGGTCCAGACTCGATTATTTACATGCTGAACTCAACTTGTGATATTGTTGTTTGTTTGTTTATTGTTTAACGCCGCACTCAGCACTGTTCCAGCTATAAATGAAGGCGGTAATTAGTCTTTGTCACATTTCCGTTGTTGAAAGAAAGAGGAGTATATGTCAATCCCTCAATACGAAGAAAAGTACTGTGTGAAAATGGCCAATGTTTTCTTGTGGATAGGAGAATGTCTAAGAGTTAAAAGGAGTGAATAAAAAGTTTGCTTTGCCGGGCACGTGTGCAACCGACCATGCCCGTGAACGGAGGCTAGCCTGCCAGAATATGAACGGAGGGGTGGGCTTGTGCAATCAAGCGTGTAATTTTGGAGGTAGCTTGTGCAATCAAGCGTGTAATTTTGGAGGTAGCTTGTGCGATCAAGCGTGTAATTTTGGAGGTAGCTTGTGCGATCAAGGCGTGTAGTTTTGGAGGTAGCTTGTGCGATCAAGCGTGTAATTTTGGAGGAGCTTGTGCGATCAAGGCGTGTAGTTTTGGAGGTAGTTTGTGCGATCAAGCGTGTAATTTTGGAGGTAGCTTGTGCGATCAAGCGTGTAATTTTGGAGGTAGCTTGTGCGATCAAGGCGTGTAGTTTTGGAGGTAGTTTGTGCCATCAAGCGTGTAATTTTGGAGGTAGCTTGTGCGATCAAGGCGTGTAGTTTTGGAGGTAGCTTGTGCGATCAAGCGTGTAATTTTGGTGGAGCTGGTGCGATCAAGCGTGTAATTTTGGAGGTAGCTTGTGCGATCAAGCGTGTATTTTGGAGGTAGCTTGTGCGATCAAGCGTGTCGGTAATTTCCTCCAACAAGCCTCTGTATATAAAGGCTCCGCCTCTGCTGTATTTTCGTTTCAGCCTTTGAAATTGCATCTTCCCGAGGCAAGGGAGTTATCTGACTGTAAAAAGTCCACTTTCCACGTTTATAGTCAGTTAACTCCCTTACCTCGGGAAGAAGTTGAAATTGATGGACGGGACCAAAGTGCAAATCACCCACTTTACGCACCGCTTTCGATGTTTTGAATACGATATTTGCATTAATGATATTGCGATCTATCCAAATCTGCAAAGTTGTATTTACCCATGAGTCCTGCACTTAAGCTAACACGGCGTGATATAACTGGAATACTGTTCAAAGCGACGTTAAACACAACTCACTCATTGTCAATTTGTTATGTCATGTGCAGTAAACATGACGTACTGTACAGTACTGCGACGTTATGTACACACAGAACTGTGACGTTATGTACATCCTGAACTGTGACGTTATGTACATACAGAACTGTGACGTTATGTACATCCTGAACTGTGACGTTATGTACACACAGAACTGTGACGTTATGTACATACTGAACAGTGACGTTATGTACACACAGAACTGTGATGTTATGTACATACAGAACTGTGATGTTATGTACATACTGGACTGTGACGTTATGTACACACAGAACTGTGATGTTATGTACATACTGGACTGTGACGTTATGTACATACAGAACTGTGATGTTATGTACATACTGGACTGTGACGTTATGTACATACAGAACTGTGATGTTATGTACATACTGGACTGTGACGTTATGTACATACATAACCGTGACGTTATGTACACACTAAACTGTGACGTTATATACATACTGAACTGTGACGTTATGTACATACAGAACCGTGACGTTATGTACATACTGAACTGTGACGTTATGTACTTACTGAACTTGGACGTTATGTACATACAGAACCTTGACGTTATGTACATACTGAACTGGGACGTTATGTACATACTGAACTGGGACGTGTACAGTCAGAACTGGGACGTGTGTCAGCTTTAAATGGCATAAGAGACTAAAGTGACTCAGGTATGAGACGTTTACCAGATGAGACCCATGAGGAGGGGTATGAGGTATGGTTCTGACAAACCCAGGATAATAATCAACACGAATCTGAGATTCGAACCTGAGATCAACACATGCTGGTGCAGCTAAGCGACGCAACTTTGCAAAACAACCAGTAAACTTTAAATACGTGGCATTGGTTACCATTCATTCAAGTGCGGACACGAGGGCGACCTTTTGTGTTGCTTGAATAATATAATTATTGATGAAACCCATGACCCTGAGCATTTAAACCCTAATTTTACAATCGGAAATATATCGAGTTAACCAACGTTCGAGCCAAGCGGAGTTCCAAGGCCATAGTTCAGATTCATACAGGTAAGTTACATGGTTGTATGAATTGCATTTAGCTTAACCAGATGTCACTGCATATTATATTGATAAAACAAACATTTCCTGAAACGAAGACTTTATTTAAGCAGCAAAATCTGCTCATTACCAATTGAACAACTCTTCATAAAACAATGTATTACCATATAATGTATTACCATTTGAACAACTCTTAAAAATATTGACAACACTGTAGGCTTCACTATATATTAGATTAATAAAACAGTAGTATGTGTAGTCATAATTATTCAATATATTAAAACGATTCTGTAAATTATGTACAACAGTGTAAAAGGGAGGATTTGCACATGGCAAACATTCTTTAAGCCTGATAAATGCTGTACATAATATACTGGTACATAGTTCCACCACCCCCGGGTAATAGAGTCGACTAAAATGGAGCAAAGTTCGGATTATTGACCGAGTTCTGAGTTCCAACCACATCGTGTATTTTCAATTACTAGATCGATGGCATGTAGTTTTGGCAACCTCAGGCAATATTCAATAATAATTAAACACTCGTCAAACATTGCATTAGGCCATCTCCTGCCCACCACACTATTTATCTTCAGTCGCTGGATCAGTGCCACATGCTTTCTGCCAGTTTCAGTGGATCACACTTTGTTGCTTTATTCACAAGTTCAAAACACCTGATATTGGAGCCACCTCCTGTCCACCACGGTATTCATTTTCAGTCACTACGTCGGTTTCACATAGTTTTGGCCATATCTTGTGGAACCACACCATTTATTTTCCGCCGCTTGATCAGTGTCATGTATTTTTGGCCATCTCCTGTGGACCACACTCTGCCCCTTAATTCAGTAGGTCGGCATCATATATTTTGACCATCTCCTGTGGACCACACTATGCCCCTTCATTGAGTAGGTCGGCATCATATATTTTGGCCATCTCCTGTGAACCACACTATGCCCCTTCATTCAGTAGGTCGGCATCACACATTTTGGCCATCTCCTGTGGACCACACTATGCCCCTTCATTCAGTTGGTCGGCATCATATATTTTGGCCATCTCCTGTGGACCACACTATGCCCCTTCATTCAGTAGGTCGGCATCACACATTTTGGCCATCTCCTGTGGACTATACTTTGCCCCTTCATTCAGTAGGTCGGCATCACACATTTTGGCCATCTCCTGTGGACTATACTTTGCCCCTTCATTCAGTAGGTCGGCATCATACATTTTGGCCATCTCCTGTGGACTATACTTTGCCCCTTCATTGAGTAGGTCGGCATCATATATTTTGGCCATCTCCTGTGAACCACACTATGCCCCTTCATTCAGTAGGTCGGCATCACACATTTTGGCCATCTCCTGTGGACCACACTATGCCCCTTCATTCAGTAGGTCGGCATCATACATTTTGGCCATCTCCTGTGGACTATACTTTGCCCCTTCATTCAGTAGGTCGGCATCATACATTTTGGCTGTCTCCTACGAAGCACATTCTGTCCCTTCAGTCAGGAGGGAAGTCCCACATATTTTTGGCCATCCCTTGTGAACAGTGTCCCTTCATTCAATAGATCGGTGTCACATATTTTTGGTCATCTACTTCACTATATGATTCAAAACACCTTCTGTAAATTTCAGCCACCTTCTGTCCACCACACTTTTTATCTTCAGTCACTTTGTCGGTTTCACATAGTTTTGGCCAGAGCTTGTTGAACGCACTATTTATTTTCCGTCACTGGCTCGGTGTCACGTATTTTTGGCCATCTCTTGTGAACCACAGTGTGTCTCTTCATGTGATAGCTGTCAAGGAACTTCTTCCCACAGGTTGGACACTCATACTTCTTCTCCAGTTCCCTGCCCTCGTGTCTTGCCGTGTGCTTCTTTAGAGCCTCTGCTTTCATGAATCGTTCCCCACAAATCTTACACTGGTATGGCGTCTCTCCAGTGTGTAGACGCAGGTGGCGCTTGAGGTTAGCAGAGATGGTGAACCTCATACCACAGACCCGACACACATACGCCTTCTCACTGTGATACTTCATGTGATTTCGGAGCTCCAGGACAAGCTTCCCACAGATATTACACTTATTCTTATCAAAGTTACTCTCAGATTCACCATCGGTTGACCTTTTCTTGGACTTTGGTAAATCTTTCGTTGAATCTGACTTTCGCTTGGGTGTCGGTAAATCCTTTGCTGGGCTTGGGTCTGGCTCTGGGTCTGGGTCTGGGTCTGGCTCTGGCTCTGACTCTGACTCTGACTCTGACTCTGACTCTGGCTCTGGCTCTGAAGCTAATGTGGGTTTCTTTGAGTTCCTGGCAGATGTTGAAGTCACTCCTTTGTCCACTGTTTTATCAGTCCTAGTCTTTTCACTAGAATTCAAATTCTTTCCCAGAGATGAGTATCTCCCCTTTCCAACGGCAACATTGTCAGGGTGTTTCTTGCTTCTGTGTTTCCTAAGTCCACTTACCGACAGGAACGGTATCCCACATATTCCACAAGAATAAGGCTTTATGCATTCTGATATTATCTGACTGCTTGGGGTCTCTTTGGGAACGTTTGCGTGGGTTTTCTGTGTGTGGCCATTAAGAAGTTCCAGGCTGGTGAAGCTCATCAGACACAGATCACAATCGAAGGACTGTAACATGTTCTTGGTTCTCTGTTCTTCAGACTCTGAGTCAAGAGACTTCTTATTTGGGTTCTCGTGGGTCATTTCATGTCCAATTTTGGTGCTCAGCTGGGCAAATCGTTTCCCACAATATATACAAACATGGGGCTTCCTGCCGGTGTGGATATTCATATGAATAGCTAATGCATTTTTATGAATACACTCCATGCCACATATTTCACAGGTAGCCGATTTCAGACTTGCCGCTGTATGTTTGTGCATGTGATAATCTAGAGTGCTTTTAAAATTAAAGCGTTCCTCACATACTGGACACTCTATCGGCTTCTCCTCTAAGTGTACCACCATGTGTTTTCGGAGATTAGCAGGTGAAGCGTATTGTCTGCCACACACCTCACACTTGTTCAAGTTGGAATCTTCATGGACCTTCAAATGAGTGAAATAATTATCTTTACGGGTGAACACCTTGCCACACTTGGAACACTCCCATCGTCCTTTGAGGGTATGCATCCTTCTGTGCTTTTCCAATGTGACAAAACGGTCAAATCGCTTGTCACAAAGATCACACCAGTAAGGGGTAGGTTCGTCCGCATGCTCCCTCATATGGCCTTGGAACAACACAAAGTCTTTTATCGTTTTACCGCATATTTTACACTTGTGTCTGTGTGATTTCGTTATATGCTGCTTCAGATCTGAGGAAGGGAATCTTTTCTTACAGACAGGACACTTTTCCAAAGCTTTCGGCTTCCTGCCCCTTTTTTTCTTCTGTTGTTTTGTATGACGGGGGGAGGATTGTTGTTGCGAGACGCTTTTTCCTGGCGCCTCCCGCTCAAGTGGAACTCTAGGACTAATTTCAGAAGGATCTGTACTTAAAGGATCTTTTCCAGAAGCATCTGGCACCAAAGGTTTAACGTTAGGCGTAACTGATTGACGAGTTGTAGCAAGAGTCATGTTCACGTGGACATTATCCAATGCCGTATGTTCACGGGGGTTATCAAGTCGTGTTGCAAACGCCAGACTTTCGACCATGTCAACACGAGATTCTGTCTGATGACTGTTGCCACCATCCATAGCAGAGACAACCTTGGCGACATCACTGCCATGATGAGACATGACTGAGCCGAACTCTTCATCTGAATCACACACTTCCTCTTTGATCAGTATCCCTGAATTGGCTAGATCGTGTGCATCTCCATTACCATCGTTACCACCACCGTCGTCAAACTCATCATCACCGTCAACCCCATCATCATCACCACCACCTTTACTACCAACACCTCCATCATGTGTGTGTATGTTCTTCGTGATGTGTACAGGAGCAATTTGTGTATCAATTGTTTCTGAACACTTTGTTTCTCCTCTATCCATTGCGGTATCTGTTTGGTGATCGTAAACCATCCCTGAAACATGTTCTTTCTTCAGGTAAATATTATAATCGAAAGCGTCAGCTCTGCATGCTGCTGCCAATACATCATCTCCGAATGGAAGAGTCATTGATCTAATTCCAGTTCCTTTTGGACAAATCTCTTCACTCTGAAGCTCTGTGGATGTGTGTTCATGCGCTGACGAGGCAGTTTGACCCGTAGCTGGGGTTTCAATCTCCTTTTTGATGCGATCTTGACAAACACTATAAGACCTGACCTCGTCACCATGCTTATAGACAGTTCCATGGCGCGTTGCCTGCATGTCCGCTCCACATATACCAGGCATTACACCTCTGCCACTGTTATTGGTTTGCAGATCCATTGATGAAACCTCAAGATCTGACAACACAGCTTCAGTTTTAACCTTCACGTCATAATCCACTCTTGGCCATAACCTACTGACAGGGTCATCATGTAGGCTACTGCTCCGTGTATGTACGTGGACCCTTTTCAACTCATCCAGTTCTTCTTCGTCGTTTCCACTGTTTCTGTCTCTCCCTGCCGTGTCTACAACAGGACAACGTGTTCTATTCCCATCTTGCGTTGCATGCATCCGATTGGTTGTTCCGAGGTTACTAAAATGGATGAAGTCAGGACTATTCTTGGCTTCATCGTGTACAGATTGCCTGCGTATCCCCAGGTATTCTTCATTGTGTACTTCATCATCTGAGCTGTCCTCGATATCAGTCATAGGGGTGACTTCAGTATCAGATTGTAGGAACAGATCCTCCACATATAATGGCCCCTTGGGTGATGGAAGACAGTTCCGGTCTTCTCGGGACCTACCATTACCGGCGGCACTGGAAAGTTCCATGTTGCAAGCCATGTTTGTTACAACACATGCAGTGAGGGGTGCACACAGCAGCTGATGGCTCGGGTCACGCTTCAAGGGAGGTAACTCTGCTTTTCAAAGTATCCCTGTGTTGCTGAAGTTTCCAAACTTTCATTGCACTGCGCTGTAACATAAAGGACAATAGTCATATAAAACAGTCAGTAACTATACACTCCTAAAAAAGTAGGGGATCGCGAAATATATGTTATGTTCAGTCGTCAGAAGACAGATTTGGGACCGACCACTTGGAATTCTCGGGGGCCTGGCATTTGTATCCAGATTTGTTATACTTCAGCTATAGCTACAAATCGAGATATTTTTCTAATTTAAAACTATAACCGTGAATTTGTTTAAAGAAAACATGTTGTTGGGATAATGTATGTTTTGTTTCAGGCAATTTATTTTATTCTCAACAGTCTGAAGCATAATTATTTTTTAAAAGAATTTTCGGTGACAATGTATATTTTTCGATAAAACCCCAGCCCAAAACACTGGACAACATACTGGCGCCAATAGATTGCGCGCCATGCTAGACCACGTTTTGTCTTTCAAGATGATAATGCTCGGGTCTACGATGGACGTATCGAAACTTACTACCCCTATCAGCAGACAGCACGTCTGGGGCATGATCGGGAGACGTGTACACCTACGTCAAAGGCCTAGGTCAACCAAGTCAGCGAGCCTGACCACCCGATCCCGTTAGTCGCCTTTTACGACAAGCAAAGTCGCCTTTTACGGCAAGCATGGGTTGCTGAAGACCTATTCTACCCGGATCTTCACGGGTCTGCAAGGGGTGTGGTCAAGGTTCGCTCAAACTGGCATAAGGCGATTGATTCGGACCATGTCAAGTCTTATAAACGAATGTTTGTCCATTCGTAGGGGAATGACCCGTTATTAATTACGTCACCTCAAACTTTTATAAACTGGGCGGCAAAAGAAAGTATAGGTCGAGTTCCATGGTCGATAAAAAAATAACAAGAAGAGGTTTTGTTGTGAATCTAGGGAGGGGTAACAAATGATTGATCAACCACAGTTTGGATGAAATTGTGCAATCACAGGTAATGTAAGCTCAAGGTAAACAATGGTGGGGTAAGAAATTTCATTTTTAAAAGTTGTCTGAAATGTGACCAAAAAATTGTCAGACACACTACAAGTTCATTGTCGACACAGTTGCCTTCAATAGCGTTTATGACCTCCAGCTGCCTGCTGTGATACGCCGCCTCATCGATGACGTCAGTCTTCTGATGACGTGGACTGGAATCCGTTGCCACTCGTCTCTCAGGTCCTGCTCCAATTCTTGTCTGTTGACGGGAGGCTGATGGCGTACTCTAATCTGTCTGTCAAGATGGTCCCACAGATGTTCAATAGGATTCATATCGGGTGAGTGGGCAGGCCAGGGCAAAACGTCAACGTTCTGCTGGTTTAGAAAGTTCCGAGTCAGTCTTGCAGTATGGTGCCTGGTATTGTCGTGTTAAAACAATGTCCCCTGCTGTTGGTTTTGTAAGAACGGAAGCACAACTGGATGCAACACTTGGTCTCTGTACTGCACAGCGTTCAGGTTTTCCTGTATAATCAACAAATGAGTCTTCTGATCTCCACAAATACCGCCCCACACCATGACACCTCCCCCGCCGAATGGGTGGACCTCTCGAATACACGCCGGAGCCAAACGTTCCCCTCTGCGTCGATAAACTCGTTCTCTGTCGTCATTTCGAAACATGTTAAACCGACTTTCATCAGTAAACAGCACTCTACGCCAATTTCTCACTTGCCAGCATCGAACCTGCCTCGCCCATCGCAGTCTCAGGCGTCGATGTTGAGCAGTCAGTACCATTCCTCGAAAAGGACGATACGATCGGATTCCAGCAGCATGATGTCGTCGTAGTACTGTACGTTGGCTAATGGGATGTCCCAACGCTGTTGCTGCCGTCGCCGTCGCCGTCACGAATCTGTTTCGCAGGTGAATGAGCCGTATCTGACCGTCTTCCAGTGGTGTTGTCACTCGGTGTTGTCACTCGGGGTCGTCCGGTTCTAGGCCTGCCCTGTGTCCTCCCTGTCTGCCTGTACCGTTGAATCAGCCTGGCTACTGTCAATGTTGTACAACCAAACCTTCTGACAATTTGGACCTGTGTTGCCCCCATTTCGGCCATACCGATGGCTCCCTCTCTCTGCTCCTGTGACAGTCGTGGCATTTCTTTTGTGTGCTTTCATCACGAGTGGTTATACCCTGCAGACGAACGCATTTATACAGCTAACATGCACGTGCAGTTTATGCCATAGGCGGGAAACCTGTTTCCCCCTAATTTTTTTGTCACCACACGAGCGCCGTCAAAGGTGGCGTGTACAGGTGAGGTGTTTTTTTGGTACCTGTTCCTGGGCAGTCATATTCCCAATACCCACTTCCACTAGTAATCGCTGTTTTTAGGAAAATTACAAATTGATAAACCTATACTTTCTTTTGCCGCTTAGTTTACTTTTAATACACTCTCCAATCGTATTTCTTGGTTGTTTGATGTATAGTCTCTGGTTGTTAGCACCCTTACAATATACCGCTTACATCTTATACTGAATTGTCACGCTACGCCTGGTCCTTCTGTTGCCTTACCCATCCATTAAATCACTCGATATGGCTTTCTGTGTCTGTAACCATCTGATATTTGCGATTATTCCCTTCCTCTTTTGAGAATACATGTACCAATTATGTTCAGAAAGATATATTCTAAACGCATCAGTTCCAAACATCACCGCTGGAATATTACTGAGAACGGTGTTAAACAACAACAAAAAAAAAAAAATCCAAACATCATCCTTGTTCTAGTGGTAGAGCGTCCGTCGGGAGAGCGTCATACCAAAAGACGTTAAAAGATGGTACTTGGTGTTACCCTGTCTGGCGCTTGACATAAAGGGGCTTAAACAAGGACTGGTCGGCTCGGAGTCAGTATACTGTGTCTGAGTGGAGTATACATGTTAAACTGCGGCATGGTATCTCAGTGAGCTAGCACTATAAAACGGCATAAGTCCGGGACACGCACGCACGCACGCACGCACGAGAATGCGCGTCCCTATGTAAGTGCGATATTCTTGAACGCGACGTTTAACCCCATTTCACCTCACGTCAAAACATCATACTAATATACACGTCAGTGCGTCGAAACAGTTATATACAATGTACCACCGGGGATTTGAATCTCATAAAAACCCGAGGTGAAATGGTTTATATTTCAGAAAAACCTGAAACATTTTTCAACATTTTTAGGTTTCAAATATACTTTCCATTAACTTTTGGAAGCTGACGTAAAATATCAGTTTAAAGCGCTGTGGTTTACCAGGGCCACTGTAACCTTGTAGTTCACTCATAGACTAACATCTAGTCTCTGAAATGAACATATCGTACAGAAAAAACAGTTGTTCAGTTATCTTAATAAAAATATAATAAAATGGAGCCCAGTGACTCTCTTCATTTTCAGATACTGCAGTAATCTAGACTTGCCAAACATTATAGACTTGCATGGGCTATTTTTGATAATTTTTATGTATTTGTATCAGGGTCTGTAAGACCAGTTCACTCACTGTGCCCCACAAACACGAAGGTTGCCAGTTCGATCCTCAGACCTGTAAAGATTTGATTTTATATTATTCCGGTAATACAGGTCGTTCCAATAATCCATGGACGGGTCGAGCATTTTTAAAAGTGAGGGGTCCAAAATATCAAAATCCTCTCTCAGTCAATTTTACCGTCCACAACATACTACATTTGGTTGTCATTTTACAATTATTTTTCCATTTATTATATCATGATAACGAATTCCAAACATGTTTTGTATTTTATTTCACCAATCGGTGACAAAAAATGATTAGAAAGAATAAATAATTTTAGTCAATGTAAGACGTAAAAACGACACGAGAAATCGTCCCCCAAACAAGTGAGTGAGTATGGTTTTACGCCGCTTTTAGCAATATTCCAGCAATATCACGACGGAGGACACCAGAAATGGGCTTCACACATTGTACCCATGTGGGAAATCGACCCCAGGCCTTCGGTGTGACACGAACACTTTAACCACTAGGCCACCCCAACGCCCGTCCCCAACCGAAACAAAGCGCGTACGGCGGGGAATCCCCTTTCTGGTTAAAACGGGTTCCCGCTGCTTTACACGCTGCGCAATGGCGCAACGATTATGGCGATCGGGCCGACGCCCAGTCTGCCTCGGACTGTTTAATATTTTACGTCGTTTCTCTGTCTGTTCATCCATTTAATTACCGTGTCCACAATCTATGTCACCTTGGTAACAACACTGAAGATGACCTCATCCCTGACATACATTTATTGCTTGCGCGGAGAAGGGCCGAGGGCGGCAGGCGTTTTAGTATCCACAGGATGTCAGCAATAAGACGGTATAAAGGCTAAGGACAAGACAGACAAACGTGTCAAACGCATCGGCCAATGAAAACAGTTGTCACGCACCTCTGGCTTGAGGTCAGCCCCCCCCCCCCCCCAAAAAAAAAAAAAAATGGTGTTTGGTTATCGATTGCGGTGCCTGTTATTTCAGCACTTACACTTGGACAATTATTATGTATGAATATTTTTCATCGGAAAATAACTTATTCCATAGAATAATACATGTTCGATTGTACGATTCACACTTTATCATGAACAGCTGTTTTTAAATTACTATGGGGGGCACGGGTGTCCCAGTCGCCTAAGGCGCCGCGATTCGCTGTGCACAGTTGCGTCCCTCGGGCACGCCAGAAATATATGATTGTGGGTTCGAATCCCGGTTCGCCCCGATTATGTTTCTAGGTTTGTCAGCACCATACCCGTGCTCGTGGGTTTCACCGAAGTGGTAAACGTCTGAGACCTGCATCACTTCGGGCTTTCCTTCCACATTAAGCTGACACGCCGCGATATAACTGGAATACTGTTAAAAGCGGCGGTAAACCCAACTCACTCACTCACTATGAATTACTATGAAATAGTGATGAAACCAGGTGTCCGAAAAGGTGGGCTTGTCATTGATGCATCACATCTGGAAATGTCTTCCACATAAAACTTTTTGACAGCTGTACTGAGGTTTGGAATGTGACAACCTCGATCAAACAACTTTTGAGCAAGAGTTGTATGACGCTATTTGAAATCTTCAAAGATAGAGCATGCTCGACAGTACCTCAAAAGTTGGCCAATGTGGACACCAGAGGCTGGAAAGTTGATGAAAGGAAAGTTGGTGGTTAAAGTAACGGCTTGTCGTGCAGAACGCCTGACGTGGATTCCCAGTCGCTGTGTACCCCGAGATGTTGATAACTATAGATACCAACGAGGTGTTATGTAAGACACGATAACGTGACATGGTGATAAAGGCGGCATGGTGTGTGTAGAAACTGCCAAGCTGCACACAATAAATGTCAGGGGATGGGGGGTGGGGAGGGGGTCGATGAGTTTGGTCTTGGGACTGTATCATATTTTCTGCTAGTAGGTAGCATAATACCCCCGCCCCCGAAAAAACAAAAACATGTAACATTTTCATGACACCCCTCCCTAAATATTGTTCAAATTTATAACTTTTGTTTAAAATAAATAGAACTGTGTCATGTTTTTATTTCTTGCTTGGGGGCAGCACGGACTTGTTTATATAGGTCCGTGGGGGCAGTTTCGTAAAGGAGAATGACCGGGCCAAAAAAATGTCACCGGGCCATGAGAATCACGAGGTTATTCCCTACTTTTGGACTTTGACAAATGATTCTCTTGTGGAATAAATCACCTGTTGCCCCGAGTCCGCGATAAGGAGGTATCGTTTGTTTAGGCGTAACTATTCTGCTGAAAATTACGTGACAATGTTAATGCCCGGTAAATTAAGAACCGCCCTAGCCCTTAAATGCGGTGATGCCCCCATTCGTTCAGAAACCGGGCGGTACGAGATTCTGTAGATCAGCGAACGTGCCCCGAGTGTTGCCGAGGACGCAATCGGCAAACCGCGCCCCTGTCCGTAATAGTGGAAATGGCCGGTCGTATTCAAAGTGGTGGAGGTTTTAGTGTTGTCCAATTTATAACGATTTACTTTTTAACCTTTTCAACAAGCATCTTACATAAAGCATATCATTTTATAGTTTATCAATTTGAGTGAGTGGGTATGGTTTTACGCCGCTTTCAGCACTGTTCCAGCCATATCACGGCGAGGGACACTCGAAATGGGCTTTACACACGGGGTGCATCATGGGAACTTTTTTTAATGTGTGTATCTTGACTTTGTTTACCGGGCCTTCGCACAACTCTCGATAACAACGAGATGTTATGTAAGAAACGGTAATGAAGATTATAAAGCCGACATTGTGTATAGACGCTGTCAAGCTACACACAAGAAACGCCACTTAGGGACCGGTAATTAGTGAGACTGGACTTAGAACTGATCACATTTTTCTGACACCCCATTTCGGTTTCAAGTCCAACTTTTACTTCCAACATCCGGGTTTTCCATATTAGTTTCCCCCATAATTTTCCTCTTCGAAACTGTTATGATTGTAGTAGAAAAGTAGAAGTAAAAAGAAAGGTTTGCCATGACACGAGCGTCAAACCCTGTGGCGCATGCCTTGCAGTTAGACCCGTTCCAGCCGGCGCCATTTTGTTTTTCCCGGCGACGTGCCACAGGTGATGGGCGTTTTTATGTTCGACGGTATTCACAGCTGGGCGCGACTGACACGTCATTACTACATCACATACATAACAGCGCAAAAACACACATTTGTGTATACAAACATCCACATGTATCTCTCAAAAACAAACAGGTGTGAAAAGATCAGACGGGACCCCGTTTTAGAATTACTCCAAAGCGGCGACTCAATGATCTAGATGGTCGGTGACGTGTTAACTGCCTTCATATACAAAATTGCTGAGTGAGGCGTTGCACAACAAACAACTCGCTCAGTTTCAAATTTTAGAAAAACGCTTCCACTAACTTTACCTAGCTTCTTCCGAGACACAGAGCTGATATATGGCTGCCTGGGTAGAAATTAACACAACAAAAAAACATATAGGTCACTCACGTCCACCTTGAGTAGTTTGTAACCTCGAGCCAAGCAAGCAGCACGACAACGATCGCTTGGCTAAGGACAATGCATACCGCCAGGCCAGCACGGTTACTGATAATAAAGACACATTTGGACACTCTAAAGTCACAGACCAGCGGGCTCGTCAACTGGTTGTTTCAAATTGCATAATCGGCAGTGAATTGAGCTGCGCCGCTCTTTATTCATCAATAAAGCTTACGTAACCAGCGATAATCCATTCAAGGCATTCTAATGACAGCGGCCGTTAATCTGTACAACTGACGAGACGTCTCTTCTTTGAAATGTATGTAATTCCTAGTTGTTTATACAAGAGGCCACACCTGGGACCCCAAATGGACCAAAGTTTAAAAAATAACACACGGAAAAAACATTAAGTTTGATTTATTTTAAATAAATGTCACCACAGAAGTACAAACTCTTAGGATACATAACATTGGACATTCTGTCAAATAAAATGGAAAACAATTCTTTGAGGAATATGAGAACTTATTTTATTATCCATGTTTTATAGTCTATGCATATGTATCATGTCATATCAACAATTAATTTGCTTTGAGTTGGAATACATCCCATCTCACTCACAGTCAGAATAACCCCTTATGAAGTGGTAACGGCGTATTAAAAATCTGTAAACTTCACTTTTGGAATTAAATGAAAATGAGAAGGGAAATTAAACTTTATTTCATACTTGAACGAACTGGTTTCTCGTCTACAGTTTGGGCATGGCGCATTTTTTTTAGCATTTATATTTCCACATTTAGTGGAAACCGAGTCTGTTAACAAACAAACAGAGCTTATGTAAAGATATAAGGAGGACAACACAAAACTATACACAGTTCAGTTATATTTCTCTGAAAAAAAACCCGACGGTGGTTACATAAAATATACAATGCAGATCAAGATGGTAACAAGCCTCAATAAAAAAAAAAGTTAAAAAAAGTAAAAAAATATAAAAATAGATAAAAATAAAAAAACCCCCAAAAAACCAAAACATAACTGTAATTAAGCAGAGGCATTTATCCACATTTTACAACAAGTAAACTATATTGACTTAAACAAGACAAGGGGGCGGTGGGGTAGGCCAGTGGTTAAAGCGTTCGCTCCTCACGCCGAAAGTTCGGGTTCGATTCCCGACAAGTGTACAATGTGTGAAGCCCATTGATGATGTCCCCCGTCGTGGTATTGCCAGAAAACTGCTAAAAGCGGCGGCGTAAAATCACACCCACTCACTTTACTGAGGTAATTTTCAGCTCTAGGGGGTCGGGATTGATAAATAATTGTTTAATCTCATTTATTTTTTGTGTAATTATTTATTTCGATCAGCGAATCTATCAGATACTAACCTGAAAGAATGTTTTGATTTTAAAATGTCTAGTTTAATTGTTTCATTTTGACGCGTTAATACAGGCAGCCAAAGACTTTGAACAGTAATACCGTTTCTTAAAACAACATTTGGTTATAATTCGATAAATACATTCTAAGATTGTCAGCAATTATTTACTTTTACGTGAAGATAATTGAACAAGTAAAAATACGCTTTGGCGACGAGTTACATCCGTTGAACATTATTTTCCCCTTTATACTACGGACAAACATGACACTCAGAGAGAAATAGTTTATATGTGTCACACGTTACATAAGCTGTATATATATACAGACAATGGGCATGTAATTTAAAAGTAAAGTCCAACAGTAAGGTTTATGAGACATTGGTGAAACCCACGATGGTGCTGACAAACCTAGAAACATAATCTTGGCGAACCGGGATGCAACTCTCCGCAGCGAATTGTTCCCTGAAGTAAAACTTATTATATACTATTATATATATATATTACTAATGTACTGTCACAGAAGGAAGGTTTCACTTGAACAACTCGTCAATTTTCGTCAATTTGTGACGTGCATTAGGGGATTAACGATATCCCCTCAGTCCTTAAACAGCTGTCACACCAGGGCTGCGTCCTCACGGCGATCTCGCGGCGTCCATGAAAAGTGCAGAACGCCGAGGTGCACGCAGTAGGGTCTCCTACAACGCCGCAGTAACGCGGTTGCATCTTCATTTCAATCATTATTTAACCTAAGAGTTCAAACAAATATCGGTTCAGGAAAATCATTTGCCCTAGGGTCATATCACGTCACGAGACAATAGTGTATTATTTCCGTAATCCGGACGGCATTGTTGACGCCATTCAAATCTCAATGGTTCCTGAGGTCGGAATGACGTCACACTGGAAACGACGTTATAGCTGAAGATTGTTGACGTCATTCGACAAATTGTGGTTCAGCTGCTGTTGCGATTTGCTGCCCTTATTGGTAAACACTAAAATTCGTCTCTGTATTTAGACATCTTCTTCTGTAATAAATAGAACATCATATTCGTGTTCATATCATACTATGTTACGACGCTCTTGCTCGGGAAATACCGGAATTTAGACGCTCGTGTCGTAAGCATAGTATAACATGTACACTCATATAATATTCTCTATTTATTACCCATAGGGTTAGAGCTGACCGAGTTCATAAAAATCGTATGCGCAAAAGTGCAAATATCACGTCACGCGCACAAGTGTATTGTTGACGTCATCCGGGCGGCATTGTTGACGTCATGCGGACGGCATTATGGACGTCAATCGAATCATATTGTGACGTAAGGACGGAATGACGCCACACTATAAACTACGTCATAGCTGAAGATTGTTGTTGTCTAAGACGGCTGGCGTGATAAGTGCATTTTTCTAAAGGGGAGCTCAAAACGATTCAGATATACTGGGTAATAAAGAAATCAATACACTCGCATGTGTGTCATTCTGATTTTACGAAACTCGTGCAAGCATTAATGTATTACTCTAGCTCTCGCTCGGGAAATACAAACATTCTGACACTCGTTTAGTAAAATCAGTATGAAACACATGCTCCTATTATAATTCTCTATCTATATTTTTTCGATGACATAATTAAATATGAAAAAAATTCTTTAGGCTATTTTGGATGACAACGGCCTAGAAACTAACCCGATGTTAAACATGGGGAGAAAACATAACGTACATTTTTATCAACTAAGTATAATTAATTCATACATGCTGAGTGGAATTCATTCATATATCATCTTGAATTTATTCTCTTGTCTCATGCCTTGGGCATTATTATGTCAAACGTCAGAGGCAATTGCATGCAAATATCAAGGCTAGACGTCGTGGGAAAGTGATTAAAGATACGTTTGTTCCACCAGGAAATAAGCACCGGTGCTAGTCTGTTGTCTCCATGTTTGCAATGCATGACGGTGGCTTTGAACTCATTGAAACATTGAACATTCTCTATTTCACCAGATTTGGCAGTGCAAGATGCAACGTGTGTCGTTGATGTGATAAATTCAGTGAGTAATGTCTCTATTGTTATGTATAAATGGGAAAATTATTATTAATTTTGCAATGTCATTAATTATAAATTAAGGAATGAATGAATAAACAACATAACAATATAAATATTTCGTTTTTAATGATTTTATTACAAGGTACACAGGGTTATTATCTATCGTGAAGACGTCCGATTTTCGATCACAAATCACTTAATTTCGTTGATCCGACATACTCGTTAATCCGACACAATCATGTGCAACCAACGATGTCGGATTAACGAGACTTGACTGTATCCACCTCTTCCAGAACCTGAAGAAGGAACTGTCAGGAAGCATTGTGCAAATAACGATGACGTCATTTCTGCTGTGGGGGACTTTTTACACCACCAGGAAGAAGCCTTCTAGAAACCAGTGGGATCCAGGTAGTTCAGCACCGTTGGCAGAAGTGTGTCGACCTCGGAGGTGATTGTGTTGACAAATAATTAGCAACCAACTCCATCGACGCCGTCCACCATTGTCACTGTTCAGCCACCAGGTGTTTGGTGTTCACACGTGATCAGTGTCTGAAATAAAGGTTTTAGAAAACAGAATAAGAGCTACAGTAAACTACGGTTATAACGAACTCAAAGGGACAACTAATTTTAGTTCGTAATAACCGTAGTTCGTTATAAGCATATAAACAGCATATATACACCAAATGGCCGGGACTAAAAATAAGTTCGTTAAATCCGTCAGTTCGTTATAAACGTAGTCTACTGTAATTTCGATTCAGAATTAAGAACTTGTGTCAAAAGGGGGTCATGTTAAACCTCATTATGCTCTATTTTATTTCTTCCCATCGGACGCATGGACTTAACCAAGGAGGTGAGGTAAACTGGGGCTTACCGTCGCGTCCAAGATTACTGCACTTATATAACGACGACGTGCATGCACGTGTGTGTGTGTGTGCGTGTGTGCGTGTGTGCGTGTGTGTCTACTTGTACTAGTCCGGACTGATGCCGATTTATAGTGCTAGCCCACTGAGATACCATGCCGCAGTTTAACATGAATACCCCACTCAGACACAGTATACTGACTCCGAGCCGACCAGTTTTGTTTTAGCCCTTAATGCCGAGCGCCAGACAGGGTAACAACAAGTGCAATCTTTTAACCTCTTTTGGTATGACGTGGCCAGGGATCGAACCCCGGACCTTCCGCTCTCCAGGCGGACGCTCTACCAAAAGAAAAGTATACACCCATGTTTGATGGTGGCTAAAATTAAAACAAACAAGAAATGTTTTTTCGACAGTGATGTATTTGATTCATGGTTACGTTTTGACCTGAGGTTTGCAGTGTTTCGGCGATTGTTTTCAGCCTAATAACATTTTAATAACGATGTAATTTCTTAGAAGATCTAATTATTAAGTGTATTCTTTCCTTTGCCAGGCAATTTAGAAATGAAGTCAATGACACCCCTAAAACGAAAAAATCTTCTCTGCATTTGGCTTCCAAATGCTTTATTTTTGACAATTACAAAAAAACTTTCCGCAGAATTCCACATGTATTTCACCTCCTATAAATAACATTAAAACTACTGTTTCTTTTCAACGAATGTTCGCTTTATGCCTAACAGTAATCTTTTATTGTCAGCGTTTTGCATATTTAGCTGTCAGCGCGAGAGTAAATGGACTTTTCTCCATGGCGTTAAAAACATTTAAATGCAAGAAAATATGTCATCTCGAGCAACCTGTGCAACGAAAAACATATGTTTACATAAGGGGAAAAATCTGGTTATACTTATATAACAGGGCGTATTAAAGTGATATACGATAGAATTTGTCATTACGGTGATGGTGATGTGAGGTGAAATGGGGTTTAACGTCGCGTCCAAGGTTATTGCACTTATATAGCGACGTGCATGTACGTGTGTGTGTTTGTGTGGCTGCTTGTACTAGTCCGGACTGGTGCCGATTTATAGTGGTGCTAGCCCACTGAGATACCATGCCGCAGTTTAACATGAATACCCCACTCAGACACAGTATACTGACTCCGAGCCGACCAGTCCTTGTTTTATCTCCTTAATGCCAAGCACCAGACAGGGTAACAACAAGTACCATATTTTAACGTCTTTTGGTATGACGCTGCCGGGGATCGAACCCCAGACCTTCCGCTCTCCGGGCGGACGCTCTACCACTAGACCACGGAGGCGGTTCATTTGTCATTACGCATAATATTATCCAGCCATCTGATTGGGTAGTCACAGTCTTGTAAAACCCATTCAAGTAAAAGAAAGAACACACCCATGTTTGATGGTGACTCAAATAAAACAAACTAAAAATGGATTTTCGATGGTGATGTACTTGAAAGGGATGAACTACCTGGGTATTTTACCTTTAAGTTTAAACTCCATTCACCTCACGTCACCTGCATAGTTTCGGTGTTTCCGTGTCGTATTGTATAATAGGAACAAAAATTGCATTACGACGCTTGTGACAAATTAACTTTGGAAACAGGTCAAGGTAACATGCTTTTCCGTCACACGACAGTGAATGCCCGGTTATAATCTCCAACTCTGGACACTTTCAAGACAAAACTAAAGACTTATCTCTTTAGATGTGTCTGTGACCCTGTGAGAGGCGCTATGAGCGACTACGTAGACGGATATGGCGCTGAAGAAATGGACTTTATTATTATTATTATTATAACATGTCAGATGATTGATTTACCAACGCAAGTTGTATTTTCGAGGCTTACTTATGTTTACAGAAAGACCAAACACATTGAAATACCTTTCTAACATTTTAACGACCATCTGGACATGTGTATTGAGCAAATAGGCCTCGCATTTATGTATATAAGCCCTGCGAGATTTGAGCGTGATTCGGAGTCAACAGGCTGACAAGGCGATCTGTATTAGGTTTAAAACGTCAACGCCAGAGAATAACCAGTCTCGATTATCTGCCGAAACAGATTCCACTGGGCGTAACAGGCAAACGGCGGTGAAAAATATATGAATAGATACCTGAAATTCAGTGACTGCAAGACACAAGACAGTGACTGGTATAAGTCCTGGATCTTCTCTACGTTGTCCAAACAGTGGTACTAAACATGTTCCCATACACACACATTGACGTACGCTTGCCTGCACTGTGTCCTGAACCAATTTCCACATACAGGGGGCACGGGTGGCCCAATCGCCTAAGGCGCAGCATGTCACTGGAAGAGTTAAAGCCACGACAGAAATCTGTGAGCGTGTTTTCGAATCGTAGTTCGCTCTGATGGTTCTAGGTTTGCAAGCCCCATACACGCCGTCTTGAGTTTCACCGAAGTGATAAATGTCTGAGACCTGCATTACTTCGGGCTTTCCTCCCACATTAAGCTGACACGTCGTGATATAACTTAAATACTGTTAAAAGCAGCGTTAAACCCATCTGACACACTCATTCTACACACGTGTATTGTGTCTATGTATTTGAATATATCGATGCCCAGATCTCATTTATATTACGTCTATGACAACGTCCAAGGTGCCGCATTTTGCTGTGCAGTGTTACGTCCCTCAGACATGCCAATCCTGTGATTATTGGTTCGGATCCTTAGTTAATGACTGTTTTGTGGTAAACCTCTAACACCGTCACCTCAGTTAGCCACGATTATGACTGTTTTGTGGTAAACCTCTAAAACCGGCACCATTTCCTGTAACATTTACCTGACATCGTGGTAAATTATAACTGAAATACTGTTCAAAGAGGTTTTAAACCAAACTCACTCACTCACTGACACGCCGCGGTATAACTGAAATTCTGTTTAAAGAAGTGACAAGCAAAACTCACTCACTGACACGCCGTGGTGTAAACTGAAATATTGTTCAAAGAGATGTTAAACCAAACTTACATACTGACACGCCGTGGTTTTACTGAAATAATGTTCAAAGAAGTGCCAAACAAAACTCACTTACTCACTGACGCGCCGTGGTGTAACTGAAATATTGTTCAAAGAGGTATTAAACCAAACTTTCTTACTGACACGCCGCGTTATAACTGAAATACTTCCAAAGAGGTGTTAAACCAAACTCACTCACTAAGACCCAGGAGCGCAGGCATTCCAGCCTAGTTCGGCAAGGGTGGAAACCGGACTTTAAGTCAGTTAACTCCCTTGCCTCGGGAAGATGGCGTACCCCTTGAGGGGCAGAGGGCCTTCACAACAGTTCTCCATCTGTTTCAGACTTGTGCTCTTCGTCTTGGTTCTCCCCATGACATGTGGATTGATCTCAGTTCTGATTCCAGGGTTCGTCGCCAGGTTGTTACGGCTCTTCCCCTCTTCCTCTTGCCTTGTGGGTTCCAGTCGAGTGCTTGTTTCGCGATATTTCCTTGCGGCCTTCGTAGGATGTGACCTATCCACCGCCTTTTCTTGATGGTATCTATTATTGGAGCTTTGTTTGTTCTGTTCCGTTCCAAAGTAACGTTTTCTAGCGTTTGCTATTTTTTTGCAAAAATCATATGTTCAAATTTATATTTTCTTTTGCCCGGTAGTTTAGACAGTTTAAAAGTATCAACACAGTTGAAACGCAAAACTGACAGTTGTTGAAGAACGAAAGACTTACGATGCTAAAAAAATATATCAAATAATACTATGAATATAGAACTTACCTAATTATCAGTTCAACGCTAAATATATATCGACAGACTCACGTAAGAAAAAATGTAAGCCAAAGGTTTTGAAACAAGCTATACCATGTAAACTGTTAGACTCGTCTTCAATTGTGCATTCAGGTTATTGGCATCCTCTTCCCATCCTCGGATGTTGTGTCAATCTTACTTTGACGGACAGACTCGATGTTATCCGACGGACTGCTGCAGATGTTTGCCGAGAGAATTAGAAACACGGCACTTGATTGTCAACAATAGATGCTATCTGTGCGTCTACAGACCTAATTTACGTCAGGTGAGGGAACAGCTGGTCTTTTGGAGAATGTGCGTCTCGGATCGTTCTATCATTATCGGCATGGGGAGATTCTTTGCTGAAATATAAGGGTCTTTCGCTTAAGTAAGATTTGAAATAAATATTTTATGAAATACATATTAACAACTGTTTAGTCATAATGACGTTATTGGTAATTTGGCTAGATTTGTGTTCTGAATGAAAAGGTGCATTCACTTTGAAGCATTCAAATAATTCTTTCTTTAATTATTTAATTATAATAGATTTACACTTCATTTTCGTGAGTTTATTTGGTGGCCGTCCCTCTCTCTCTTAATTTAGAAAATTAACTCTGATATTTAAATGTTATAAGGTATGACGAACTTGATTTAGGGGCAGTTTTATAAATGACACGAAAAATAGATAAATACCAATTTTACATTTATCAAATTAGACTAAAGTTAAAAAAGATGCACTTCATGTCTTTCTTACGTGTCCCTTAAACGGTACATTAGGGCAAAATAAGTATTATTTCGTAAAAAGCTACGATTTAAATTCAATTCTAAATGGTAATTCACATTAAACGGCAGTAACAAATCTTGAAATTTTGAAATCAGTGCACAGTTTTATTCTGTCTTCTTGCCGATTTAGAGATTTTGTCTGAGATGTTGGCTTTGCTATATGATGTTGTGCTGGATGTAAATAAAAACGTAGCTGTAGTAACGAAAGATAATCCAGTAATTAGACACTTACAGAACAATACTTATCTTTGATGTCATATATATATAATGTATGTTATTTCTCATGTCACTGTGAATACATTGTATTGTGTGTGTGTGTATCATGATTGGGAGAGGCATTCAGATAAGCAAAATTTGCTTGTTTGCCAATCCCTCCACTTTATGGAAATAAATATGTTTAAAAAGAGAATCTCACCCTCGTGCCGTTTGATATATTTGATAATAAAAGACACGAGGGTGAGATTTTTTATCATCCAAAATCATTTTCCCAACCTTTTTAGTTTGTAGACAGTAATAAGCAGTGTCTTGAGTGTAACGTACTGCTAACAGAAACCAATGACGTCACAATGGTCTACAAAGCATTGTGATGCAATTTCATTGCAGCGATATCTGCAGTATAGATATGGCTTGAGTCTCACCCGAGCGATATCTCCTGTGGGATCCAGTTTTGGATGATAAATCAAGTTAAAATATGTAACTAGTTACACGCCTGTGCACCACAGTGACTTCTTTTGGCCAAGGCCCTTCAGCTCGAGGCCACAGTGACTAGGCTAATCTGTGCACTGTGAGATAAGAAAACATATACAGTATAGATACAAGAGCGCATACCAGAACAGTGTGTGTGTGTGATTCTTTGACACCGAAGGGACTACACGCAGCTGGCAACATGCGTGCCGCCCACATCGTGACTTGGCTGTTCTTCTGTCTGCCGTTGGTGCAATGCGACGAGACTATCACCATCTTCCCTGAGTTGCTGAAGATTGGAGATGGCGTCAACTTTGACCATGGACGCTGGAACGGCAAGAACGTCCTTGACAACACCCCTGATATTGCACGTGTCAAACAAATAGGAGCAACGACGGCCAGATGGGTTAAAGCCGAGGGTTCGGACGGTGTCTTTGAGCACGTAAGGTCTATAGAAACTGTTTAACATTTTGAATACTAGTATTGTCCTATTGCAAAATAACAGTGAAACCCCACATGCTTACGATAGAGTCAAAATCGTCAATTGATTTCTGATGAAAATGGAAAGGGTTTTATTTCTTCTATTTACTTACCAGGATTATAACGTTTCGTTTATCTGCCCAGGCAACGGAAAACCCCCACAGGAAGGGATATCCCGACCCTGCCTACTTCGATTCCAAAAAAGGGCAATTCGCACAAAAATACTTGGCCAACATGCAAGGATACGGCCAACCGGAAATGGTCATGATGACGTCAGGTGAAAATGCCCAAATTATATTCAGAAAACTTCATAACTGCCATCAGTGTGACGAGTGAACGCTTTAACCACCAGACCACTAGGCCATCCAACTTCCCCTACACCCAAGTAAAGTTACTGGTAAGAATTGTCCTCATCAATCCATGCTTGTTGTAAGAGGCGACTAACGGGATTGGGTGGTCAGGCTTGCTGACTTGGTTGATGCATGTTATCGTATCCCAACTGCGTAGAAAGATGGTCATGATGTCTATCAGTGGATTGTCTGGTCCTGATTCCGTCATAAAGATGGAGCTCAGAGTGCGGAGTTCAACAAACCATCAAATAAATATTATTCCCTTTCACGGATATAAAAACTAGCAAGCTAACAAACTTGTTACCTATAATGTATGTATTTACAGGGAAGCTTTGGCCACACTGGATAGACAAATCCCACCACAAGGGGTTGTTTCCCAACAATATCGATGCTGCTGCGGAGTTTGAGTATCTTCTCATTGACGCTGTAGACAAAGGAACCAAAGGAACCCTTCCATTATTCTTTGAAGTCATCAACGAACCAGATGGCAAGTATGCCAGCACAAACTGGTCGACATTCATCTCATACCACGAAGTGACAGCTAAGAAAATCAAATCGAAATATCCACAAATCAGAGTGGGAGGGCCCACGTATACAGGCGCATCTTCTAATTATGACGCCAATGGATTCAGGGTCTGGAGCAAGATGGCTGACTTCATGGACATGGCTCTGGATCATCTCGACTTTTTCTCCTTTCACTCCTACTCTGGCCTGGACGTTCACGGAGGTACCCACCAGTTCCATGCCTCTGAAGCAAAGTTGTTTGGTCTTCTTGACCTTATTGAGAGTTATGCCCATAAGAAGAAAGGAAAGACGTTCGATGTTATCATCAGTGAATATGGCATGGGAAGTATATCGGGGTTGGATGAACAGAAACCATCCCCTTTCATTGACTGGGGCCATATCTATCAACACAACGACCAAATGTTTACCTTCCTTCAACGTCGTGATGTGATGAGAAAGGTTGTTGCTTTCTTGCTGACCTACACTGAGCTTAAAGGACAAGCAAGCATCAACTACAGTTTGTTTGACAGGCACAGGAACGTAAGGGATGTTGCTGATGCTTTCAAGTTCTGGATGAACTTCCGCAATGCGATGATGTTTTTGAGGGTGGACAGTCAGTTCCACAATACTGAGAGGAACATTGTGCCTCACATCCTACTGGACAAATCTTCAGGAACTGTTTATATCCTTCTTCACAACCACGACCAAAAGCCCACGCACGTGAAACTAAATTTCGACAAAGGTTGGCTCCATCCGACAAGTGGAAAGTCCACCTGTGAATATCTGAACTCACAGAAGAAACCAACTCTAGATACAGACAAACCAGTTCACGTCACGAACTCCATGGTAACCGTTCCTGCTGAAGCGAGTTGTTACTTCCAGTTCCACACAACCCACAACTTTGCCCATGCTCCGACTGTGACCCAGAACACCTACTTCTCCCCCGACATGGTTGTCCCCATTCACAACACCGTCGTCGATGTTAAAGTAAACGTCCCGAGCATTGGCAACATTGATTTTGTTCGTCTGAGGATCAGTCTCAGCAGAGACAGCAAGGCCACTCACGGACCTCCAAAGACGATCATGATGAACAATCACCCCTTGACCTCCTTCTACTCCCTCCAGGCTGGCCATTCCAGTTCCACGGTGTTTGAGACCTACGAGTATGACGTCCCTGCGAGCATCGTACGACAGCACAGCAACGATGTTAAGATTACCTTTGTTCACACTGGAGGCTTTGTGTCTACCGTCGCATTGGTGGTAGGCAGGCACTGAATTATTTGTCAATGGTCAGAGAGAGAATTCACGATAAACATAATTATGACGATGACCTTTGAAGCTAAAAACCTCAAACAATTAACAAAGTCATCCTTTATTCTTCAAGGTAATGCATTCGAGACAAAACAATTCCAACCACTGTATGTATGAATAAAGTCAGAGGTGAAAATGTTTCTTTCTTGTTCGGTAGTTATTTTTTAAAATACATTAGGCACATAGGTTTTTATGTACAACGCGGCTCATCAGGGATTTAGTAAAAGTGGGATTCATATACACTTCCGCGCAAAAGAAGGTCTACACTCGAAAACTGGATTTGACCAAAACATAAAAAACCCATAGAAACACTCATGGTCCAAAATACAACAGTGATTCCTGTATCAAACACATAACCTTCGAATAACCGTTTCGTGTTTGTGTCATGTTTCTGCACAATCAAACATGGGTGTGTACGTTCTGCAGACGTTACAATGTAATATGGATTTACACAGTCTAGACCTTCCATGATAAGATAGGACAAGGACCCAACAATTTGTGTCGTCAGCATATGAACATCTCGCAGTGCAGGTGCTTCTGCTGACCGTTCTGTGCAATGTCGCATGAGGGGACTATTCACTCACAGTTTCCCCCGAAACTTAAAATCGGAAGCGTGACAATGAAAAGTGGAATGGTAAAACGGGTTTGACACCCCGGCTCAGGTGTCAATAATGAAGAATCTTCGAGCTGTGACCACCGGGTGGATCTGCAGGGATCTCTCGCAGGCTCTGTTTGCAAGGTACGTGTGAAGTTAAGTTCCGTTAATCCGGACGCAATATCATTCGTCGTAACAATTTTCCTGATTAACGAATCATTGTTATCAGGGAATGCTATTTTCACAGGACATTATCATTAACTGTTGGAAAGACCCAGGGCTTCTGCAAATATCAATGCCCTGAAAAATAGCGTTACCGTTATTAAAGCTAAAATGGGTAGAATTTGTTATCAAATAAAAATATTGGTTTTGAAACATTACTGCAATTAACACACACCGAATGTCACTGACCCACTTTTACAAATATGGAAATGTCATAGAACAAATGATAATTGATAATGGTCCGTCGTCAAGCAAGAAGAGGGCCTAATCAAGTTACAGTGGCCCGCTCATTTCTGATAGGTGAGGTGAGGTGAAATGGGGTTTAACGTCGCGTCCAAGATTATTGCACTTATATAGCGACGTGCATGTACGTGTTTGTGTTTGTGTGGCTGCTTGTACTAGTCCGGACTGATGCCGATTTATAGTGCTAGCTCACTGAGATACCATGCCGCAGTTTAACATGAATATCCCACTCAGACACAGTATACTGACTCCGAGCCGACCAGTCCTTGTTTTAGCCCCTTAATGCCGAGCGCCAGACAGGATAACAACAAGTACCATCTTTTAACGTATTTTGGTATGACGCGGTCGGGGATCGAACCCCGGACCTTTCGCTCTCCGGGCGGACGCTCTACCATTAGACCACGGAGGCGGTCTTCTGATAACATGCGAGGGGTTTAATGATAATTCTATCCATTTAAGCTATCATATGGAGTAATGTCTTTTTGCATATACAGGAACGATGGGGTAGCCTAGTGGTCAAAGCGTTCGCTCGTCACGCCGAAGACCCGGGATCGATTCCCCACATTGTTACAATGAGTGAAGCATATTTCTGGTGTCCGTGATATTGTTGAAATATTGCTAAAAGCAGGGTGAACAAATAACAAGCAAAGCGCCCACGTATTGGGTGGTCACTGTTTCGAAAGATTGTTTCCTCTGATAGTTGGAGCCGAACCATTTATTGCTCAATGAATCTTCCAGTGAATTACTGATTTTGGTACATATTCGGTGTCGTGCCGGGTTAGCGAAAATCCAATTTTCCCTAGTATCAGTAGAGCGAAAACCCAAGTTGGGGTATTTGTCCTACGAAAGCGAAAAATGAGTAATTGCTATAAAAACACCGGATTACCGTAGTTTAGATTGGCGCCTGACTCCCAAACAACCAATCAGTATTCACGGCAGAACTAATGGGCATGGCCTCAGCCCTCCATAATCAAGAATAAAAAAAACACAAAAAAAATCCTAATACTTACCGACTCCCTAAGTGGACTGCAAGCCCTCCAAATCAAAAATACCCAAAACCGACCTAAATTAATAAATCAAATACTTAAAAGCTCCAACGACCTAACTAAGGCAGGCAAACAAATAACATTCTTGTGGATACCCGCCCACGTAGGAATATACGGTAATATAAAGCGCACGTTAAATCTCCAAAGTAAGTAAGTTATCTATGTCCAAAATGGCTAACGCACAAGTTCGAGTGACCATGGTTGATACCGTGCGAGGTGGTCAGCACTTGTTCAGGCTCTGAAAGACAATCTCGTCAACAACGTCATCGGCGACGTTGAGTGCACAGATCACGTTGGTGACCTGATCCACTTGGAGTAAATGAAATTATAATGTACATCTATGAAATATTAAAGTATTAGAGTTATTAAATTTGTTAAATGTAAAGTACTTTTGTGCAACTATACTATACTTCAGCATCTAATAAATTACTACTGTAAATACGGTACACGCATTTCTGTGTTTTTCTTGTAATTTGAGAGTCCCGGTACAGCAATATCCCGTGTTTACTGTAGCGTGACCAGTCTTACTGTAGCTTCACGAAAGCGAAGAGCTTTTAGAGTTCATTATGGCTAGGTTTCGCTCTCCCGGCCCAGAACCACATATTCATTGAACAATCCAGCCCTGTATATGAATCATTTCCATAGAGGTCACTGCAAATCCAGCCAGGAAGGGGAACCCGGATCCCAACCAGCAAGACATCAGTGTGAAATACCCGAACAACCCACAAATGGTTATGTTGAAAGGTATATATACTGAACCAAATTAAAAAGTTCACAATCCTAAAATTTTAACATTTTGACCAGTTATCATTGTGGGCCCTTATTGTGTATTTAAACAGTAATGGCCACGTATTGTCTTCAGATAACACCGTTTATGTGCAGGTGAATCGATCAAAATCATGTGCACAGCGCTATAGTGGCAAAAGTGTTTTTTCACGTGCAAGTGGTCACGTGGCCATAATACTGCACGTGTTTCAGGCATACTTTTTTAGCATTCATGAACAAAAAAAGAAAAACACAAGCAAACAAAAGTCTTTACGGCCATTTGTCATGCCACGACTTTCAAATTTGCAACGTGAACGTGCCATCGGCATGTTGCAGACGGGAACGACCGTAGCTGAAGTCGCAAGGACGATGGGTTGTAGTCGACGGACTGTTTATGATTTACAGACGCGTCTACAGCAAACGGGTAAGACCGCTGATCGCCCTCGGCCAGGTCGACCATGTGTGACGTCACATGCAGAAGACATCAGGTTATCTTAACGTCACCTCCGTAACCGATTTTTGACGGCTACATCAACAAGAAATGAACTGTTTAGGGGTAGACTGAGTGCGCAAACTGTTCGAAACCGTCTGAGAACTGCTCACCTTCAAGCACGACGGCCATACTGCGGGCCGATTTCGACTCAATTACACAGATGTCAACGTCAATTGTGGGCACAGCGACACTTACGATGGACTCAGAGGAATTGGAAACAAGTCGTCTTCAGTGATGAATCCCGATTTAATCTTCGATTTGCTGATGGTAGGGCGAGGGTGTGGAGGCGCCGTCATGAACGTTACGCCCAGTGTTGTGTACAGGAAGTTGACAGATTTCGAGGCGGAAGTGTCATGGTGTTGGGTGCTTTCTGTGGCAATGCACGTTCCAGGCTTCTTGTCATCCGTGGCAACCTCAACGCTGCTGCTTACCGCGACTAGGTACTGGCACCAGAACTTCTGCCTTTTATGGCAGCACATGGACCCGGTTTGATCTTCCAACACGACAATGCCAGACCCCACACAGCAATTTTGACAAGGAATTTCCTTCAGAATGCGGGAGTCAACGTCATGGACTGGCCGTCAAGGTCTCCCGACCTCAATCCCATCGAACACATCTGGAATGCTCTTGGCAGAAGTCTCTTGTGCACTCTCCAGAACCAACCACGGAATTTGCAAGATCTTGGCACCATTTTGCAGCAACAATGGCGTCGTCTTCCCAATCATGTGTCACAAGCATCACAAGGTCCATGCGGAGGCGTTGTGTGGCAGTTGTCAACGCACATGGTGGCCATACACGCTACTGAACTTGTGTGCTATCAGATTCTCGTGCTTGGGACTTATGATTTAAACTGTTCATGTTATTACCGAATCCCGTAGGTGCTTGGAACAAATTATGGTTACCACCGGTAATTAAAATCCTTCTTTGGACATTAATGATAAAAAATTACCTTCTCTGATACATTTGTCCGTCGTATATCATATATGGGATTACATTTAAAAATGTGAAGTTTTTAATTTGACTATATATTCAAGTGAGTGAGTGAGTTGGGTTTAACGCCGTTGTTAACAGTATTCCAGTTATATCGTGGCATGACACCTTAATGTGGGAGGAAAGCCCGAAATGATGCAGGTCTAAGACTTCGTCAAAACCCACGAGCATGGGCATGGTGCTTGACAAACCTAGAAACATTATCGCGTAGAAACGCGGCGCCTTAGACGACTTGGCCACGCGTGCCCCCATATATATTCAAGGCGAAACTCCATATATAGTTTACAAATTCCACTAAAAGTCCGTGATTTTACGACATGGCTGCAGGCAAAGTTGTTATGAAGGTTGATGTCTAGTCTTAGTCAAATTATATACTGAAAACACAACACACGACGTGAATATATGTCCATATAACCAAGCCTTGAATATATGGCTAGACAAACACGACTTGTATATCGTTAGATAACGACTTAAGATGTGTTTTCATGACGCTTGGGTGTCGCCTTAAGGTATTAGGAAAACTCCAATTGCCGCAGGTGTAGATTATGAAGATGTTAAGCTCTTCAGTATAATCCACAAGGACGTATTTATTTGTGACAAAGGGTCATGTTCAGTAAAAGCCGTAATTTATTTTCGCAAGAGACATTGAACATCTTTTACAAAAGATGATAAACCATAATCAAATCCTTCTTTGAAAAGTTGTCTCAGGAACCTTCTAGGCATAAGAATTACATATTTTTGATGATAACTTGTGATCGATGACAAACAAAGATAACAGCGTTCTTGGTGCTGGTATTGACAGAAAAATACATTAATATGACTATTTGGACGTACATTTTATATCAACGGCACCTGTTCAAAACCTCCAACCTCCGAATCATTTCACATTACGTTAGGGACCACCACCAGCGCTAATTTCATCTTCAGTACTAAGAATAACAGAGTATATGAATCGAAATAGAAAATCCAAGGAAGGTTCTGCTTTTTTGCTAAAGTTTACAAGCTTGATCAAGCCTGTACTAAGTAACAATCTCACTTAAGAAAAACAAGGCTAGTTGGGATTAAGAAAAAATAAACCTGTTCCCCAAATACTGAATATAAATTGTCAATGCAAGAGATTTACCAGTCTAGATTATCCGCCCATACATATTACACTTTAGCTTAAAAGTCAAAATAGCTTTGTCAGTTATATGAATAAAACACTGGAAATCTGTTACGATACCACGTGTTCGCGAAAAAGGTAAGCACCAAAACATAATTGTCTTCATCATTGACAAAGATAATATATTTCACTAGACATTCTTGTGGTTGTGAAAAATAAAGTGGTGTGGGTAAGAAAAATGTGTTTGGCTTTTATTTTCATAGAAATTATCTCGGTGTTCTGAAGAGCCGACTGAGAAAAATATGCTCTATCAAACAAAAACTGCTAGGGCCTCATGAATAATAAATGTCGATACCTTATCTTCTGGGTCTTTGCAGATGTTGATTAGCCTCACTGGCTGGACAAGTCCGAGCACCACGGCGTCTTCCCCAACAACATCGACGTGGCAGCAGAGTTTACCTTTCAAGTCATGGAAGCAGTCGACACAGGAACCAATGAGAAGGTTCCGTTATTCTTTGAAGTCATCAATGAACCAGATTCACAGATTCATTCTATGAACTGGACAATCATTGTTAAATTCACCAGGTTGTTGCCCAGAAACTGAAATTGAAGACAAGAACAAATATTTACAGTTGAAGTTGAGAAATGTGGGGGTGTAGGGTGTTTGCCAGGATTTTGTCTTGAAACAAAATATGTTTTTAATTCTAACTACGAGCCAACACATTTCTTAAAAAACACATTGCAACAATATAATTTCTTTGGGAGAAAATTTCTTTTTTTTCCTGACAATTTGAAATATAATAATTTTTGTCAAAATATTCCGGGAACTTTTTTTTCGATTGATATGGATGTCGTCCCCAGAAAAGCGACCAAAATAGTCGGGTGGTCAGAATCAGGCACGGTGACATGGTTGATAGCTCGTGAATGAACCCCGAATCGTTACTTATAATATCAATCAATGGATTGACTGGTCCAAACTCGATTATTTACAGGTCGTCGTCGTATACCTTGGATATTGCTCAGTGCGTTGTTGATTAACGCACGCAAGCATGATTCAAATTATTCTTTGTTAACACCGTTCCTTTGAGTAACCTAATTGTGTCTACGCCTCTAAGAATGCCAAACACTACAGACGTTCTTGTATGTTTGCATTTGTGTGGCCGCAGTCAGCAATAATACAACTATATCACATCAGCCTTCATGGTGTGATGCACACTTTGCTTATATTGTCACAGTTACACCACATCGATCTTTTGATTGTTGGTATGTTGTTTAACGCCGCACTCAGCAATATTCCAGCTATATGATCATGACGCACATCGATATTTCGCTGTCGTTACACACCACATGGTTTTGTATCCACGTGTGAGGGGTGGTCGGGTAGCCTAGTGGTTAAAGCGTTCGCTCGTCACGCCGAAGACCGGGTTCGATTCCCGATATGGGTACAATGTGTGAAGCCCATTTCTGGTGTCCCCCGCCGTGATAGTGCTGGTAAATTGCTAAAAGCGGCGTAAAACCATACTCACCTACTCACTTACTCCAGGTGTGAGTTGGCCTCCCTGGCTGGACACCTCTGCCCACCACGGACTCTTCCCTAACAACATCGATGCTGCATCTGAGTTCGTCTTCCTGCTGGTCGACGCAGTCAGCAACGGACCAACCTCGAGATCAGGGATGACAATTCAATCGTCAAATGCATTACCTAAAACGTCAACGCCAGAGAACAATAACTCCCGATTATCCGCCAGAACATTCCAAAGGCATGTTAGCGGTTAAAAGTATATGAATGATGTTGAATTAACTCTATTTTTTGCGACATTCAACCAAAGTGCGACCTTCTTGTAATAAGACGTCATTACACTTATTCGTGTTGGCATAGATTATACCAGTATCATGTCCCACTACTAACCTTCAACTGCAAAAAACGAAGTTTGGCTCACAGAATCACTCCAATGCCATCTGACATTTCATGAATATTATCACAAATCTCTATCATGAAGATGTCATTCAAAATATTTGTATATGCTACAGCTAAATGTTAGTCACTGCACATGCCACTGTTATGTTTTAAATGTACCCCTCCCTAACAACACGAATATATATGATATATGTTTATAATTATGTACTAATAATACATTGGCGTCTCAGTTACAACAGGGGAGGTCGGGTAGCCTAGTTGTCAAAGCGTTCGCTGGTCACGCCGAAGACCTGGTTCGATTCCGACATGGATACAATGTGTGAAGGCCATTTCTGGTGTCCCCCGCCGTGATGTTGCTGGAATATTGCTAAAAGCGGCGTAAAACCATATTCACTCACCTACTCACTCAGTTACAACAGATTCAGCTAACAATAGCCTACTGATTTCATGAAAATATACTTTAGTGCCACACATACGGCAAGGTTTATAATTAAAATGCGATCTAACTTTAACCTTACATGGGTGTCTTTTTAAGGTTGCAATGTCTGTATTAACAGTTGGGATCATGTAACTGATAAGATAGGAACATTCTTTCCTATGCATGTATATGAGGTACAGCCGAGTCAACTGATTAGCACTCATTCTCTCGTTGGGAGATATATCTAGCGTGAAAACAGCAGACATGAAATGTCTGACACTTTTCGTGTCTATTCTATCAAGCGCAAGATGTGATTACACCGTGTCCATCTTTCCTGAAATTCTGAAGATTGGGAAAGTTACACATTTCGACCACGGGCGATGGAATGGGAAGAATGGATTGGACAGCTCAACAACAATTCCTCTTGTTAAGGAGGTTGGAGCTACCGCAGCCAGATGGTTGAACAGAGACTTGGGAAACGGGTTGTTTGAGAAGGTGGGACATATTTTATTATATCCGAGTCTTAAAATAGCACTGTAATGCTCCTCCTTATAAATGAGTGAGCGAGAGAGTTTGGTTAAACGCTGCTTTTAACAGTATTCCAGTTATGTCACAGCGTGTCAGCTTAATGTGGGAAGAAAGCCTGAGGTGATGCATGTTTCTAACGTCTACCACTTTGGTGCAAACCAAGAGTAAGGAGACAAACCTAAACATAAACGGGGCAAACAGGAATTCGAACTCACGATCATACGTTTCTCGCGTGCGCCTTTGACGACTGTGCCACCTCTGAAAGAAGGAATATTTAAGGGACTGGGTTTTACGCCGTTTTTAGCAACATCATAGCAATATCACGACAGGGCACACTTAGTGTGGATGAGTTGGGAGTGTGGCATTGCATACAGCAACTAGTAGCCGAATTGATGTCCTCCATGGTCTCTAGAAACGTGGTCTAACTTAGTTTACTGTTGGTGATAATGGTGATAATTTAAAATAATTTTCAATGTGCAATATTGTTCAAACTGTTTCGCTGTCCTTTGCTGACAGGATGCAATTATTAGAAACATGTTCGTATCGTTTTATAGCTAAACATCACTCCCACTCACACACTCACTATCTCACTCGCCCACTCAGTGTCCCACTCACCCACTCACTCTCTCACAATGTACCCGTGTGAGGAGTTGAACCACGGCACCTCGTGACGACCGAGGTGTAAGGCTAGCTCCTCGCCTCATGCAACTGTAATGCCACTCAATACATATCACTACCCAACGATCTAACTTACAAGATAAATTCAGCAATGGCATACTAATACTAATCGTGTAAGGGGCATGATTAAATTTCAAGAGGTACAGGACGCACTGAGGTGTCGCGACTGGTTGTGCAGTGTTACGCCCCTTTGGCCTGCCAGAGACCTATGATCAAAATTTCGAATCCTGGTTAGTCCTAATATTGTTTGAGCAACCAAGCATGTTGACATGCCGTAATATAAAACAGTCCACAGCAGCTTAAAACTCTCACTCTCTCACTCACTCACTCACTCACTTGAACATTTAACCTTCTATCTCGTTTCATGTCAGGCACCTGAGAACCCAAACAAGAAGGGCTATCCTGATCCGAAGTACTTTCAGGCCAATCAAAACAAAATCAGCAACAGTTACTTGAACGTCGTGAATGGATATGGCAATCCTGAAGTTGTCATGGAAATAAAAGGTATTTCAATTATTATTCCAGTTTGAATCAATAGAGGTTATCACGCGAGTGTGTTTTGAGGAGTGTTTATCTTATATTCTATGGTCGAAAGAAGTAACCTCATTTCTCACAAATAATAATGAATAATGTCGTCATAATATCCTTTAAAAGTTGTTGACAGAAGAGGATGCACTTTCATTCACTCACTCAGAGGCATTATTTTTCTTATTTAGGTTTGTATTGGCCTCATTGGATAGACACCTCTGCCCACCACGGATTCTTCCCTAACAACATCGATGCAGCAGCCGAGTTCGTCTTCCTGCTGATCGACGCAGTCAACAAAGGAACCAATGGAAAACCGCCTCAATTCTTTGAAGTAATCAATGAACCAGATGGTCAATGGAAGAACACAAACTGGACTACCTTTATCACATTTCATCGGGCTGTAGCTCAGAAGATTAAGGCAAAATATCCGAATATCAAGGTCGGTTGGCCAACGTATACTGGAGCTTCAATTTTGTTTGACCGTAATGACTTCCGGACTTGGAAGACATTGGCTAAATTTCTGGACATGGCTCTGAACCATTTAGACTTTTTCTCATTTCATTCCTACTCAAGTATGGATGTGAGTGGAGGCTCACACCATTTCCACGGGAGTTCCGAAGCTAGGCTATTTGGTCTTCTGGATCTTGTTGAGAGCTATTCTCAGAAGAAGAAAGGTAAATTGATTGATATCATTGTCAGTGAATTTGGTCTCGGTCCGGTATCAGGACTTGATGTACAGAAACCCTCCCCCTATCTTGACTGGGCGTATATTTATCAACATAATTCCCAGATATTCACCTTTCTACAACGTCGGGATGTCATGAGAAAAGCGGTAGCTTTCTTGCTCACATATACTGATCTACTTGGGCAGGCAAGTATTAACTACAGCATCCTTGATAAAAACCATAAGGAGAGGGACATTGCGCAAGCTTTCAAGTTCTGGAAGTCCTTCTATGACACAATGACATACTTGCGTATTGACAGTCAGTTCCATAACGCTGAAAGAAAGGTTGTATCGCACGTCTTAGTTGATCAAAGGAACGGAAGTCTCAGCATTCTTTTGCACAACCTTGACCAAAAGCCAAGTCACGTGAAGCTTAATTTTGACAAAGGTTGGTTCCATACATCAAGTGGAAAGTCCACCTGTGAATATCTAAACGCACAGAAGAAACCAACTCTAGATACAAACAAACCAGTTCACGTCACAAACTCCACGGTAACCGTTCCTGCTGAAGCGAGTTGTTACTTCCAGTTCCACACAACCCACAACTTTGCCCATGCTCCGACTGTGACACAGAACACCTACTACTCCACCGACATGGTTGTCGCCATTCACAACACCGTCGTCGATGTTAAAGTAAACGTCCCGAACATTGGCAACATTGACTTTGTTCGTCTGAGAGTTAGTGTCAGTTTCAGCATGAAGTCTCCACATCAGAAACTAAAGACGGTGGTTGTTAACACGCACACCTTGACGTCCTTCTACTCACTGCATACCCACAGCGGCGCTGGTGAAGACACTGTATGGGAGGTATTTGAGTACAACGTCCCCAGCAACATGCTACATCAACACAACAACGACGTCAAACTTAGCTTCTCCGAGGCTGGGGGTTATCTGTCCACTGTGGCAGTGATCGTTGGAAGTCACTGAGGGTGATACATGTAAGGAATCCCAAAAACTGAATGAATAATATTTCAGAATCTGATTATGATCAAAACATTTAATAGGTACTTCATATGTAACACCGTGAACTACATGCTGTGTATAACAAATACCCATGTGGACGTATTACAACTACAATGAGCTTTCAAATGGTAAAAGTGAGCTATTTATAAGAAGTACTTTAGAACGGACTACAGAAAACACATCTATTCATCCTTCTCTCTAACAATGAAATACAAAAATATACAGTAGTGAGAGAACTTCTGTTTTATTTATTGTGAACGATATCACTTTAACATTCCTTTTATCCCAGGAACATTTGTGTTGGGATACGTTGATCATTTGATAATACAGTCACGATCTCAGTTGTCACAAATATACTTCGAGGTTCTGACAATGCGCTCTTTGGTTATGGTTAAGGATAAACAACTGATCACCAATTCCCTTCAAGTTGAAAGTGAAAATGCTAAGGGGTCTAGAAAGCTCTCTCTATATATTACATTTGGATTTTCACATAGAATACATGACCATGCGTGCTCATAAACTCAGGGCTAAACGTTGTAAGGTTTTAAATTACTGATTTGTAACTATTTGCAACAAAGACGAAATATTTATGTCATCATTGGAATACAGGTATCCGCACACAAGCTAAACATTTCACAGCAGCCAGCATTCTGCACTGCGGCATACGAAATGCCACTTAACATGGCTCGGCATCTGGCGTATCAAAGTGATGTGTTGTGAGGGAATTTACTGCAAGGCTGATTCAAAGGATTATGCATATTTAACATAATACAAAGGTTGTCTTTCTTGAAAGCAGGCTAGACTTTTATCATCAACAAGTGGTTCAATTTAGATATTATGTTTTAATTGTGAGTATTTCAAAATGCTTTTTGAATACCTTTGCAGCAAAAGCAGGAGCAAGTTGCTCAACGTTCTTACGCTATGACGTGATTACACATTCAACATATTGTGATACAACCTATCAACACATGTACATACGCACGGACACCTATACGTACATGCAGATACACGCTCACACAAACACTCGAAACATATTCAAACGTGCGCACACACACACACACACACACACACACACACACACACACACACACACACACACACACACACGCACACGCACAAGCACACACACACACACAAAGTGAGCAGGTTTAACTGCTTCGTTTCAGACAATTTAGTCGATTGTACCTAAGATTTTAAATGGTATACATATGCCAATCTTGGTTTAGGGTCACTTACTGGTACATAAATAGATAAGTGCCAACTTTACATTTATTATCACATTAGAAGTTCAAAAAGGTGACTCCAGCTCGAGGCCATGGTGATCTATGCACCTTGAGATAAGAAAATGTTATGGAAATTTATACAAGAGTTTTACAAGAGCACATACCAGAACAGTGTGTGTGATTCTTGGACACCGAAGGGACTACATGCAGCTGGCAACATGCGTGCCGCCCACGTCGTGACATGGCTGTTCTTCTGTTTGCCGTATGCGCAATGCGACGAGACTATCACCATCTTTCCTGAGTTGCTGAAGATTGGAGATGGCGTCAACTTTGACCATGGACGCTGGAACGGCAAGAACGGCCTTGACAACATCGTCGATGATATTGCACGTGTCAAACAAATAGGAGCAACGACGGCCAGATGGGTGAAAGCCGAGGGTTCAGGCGGTGTCTTTGAGCACGTAAGGTCTATAGAAACTGTTTAACATTCTGAATACCAGTATTGTCCTATGGCGTAATGTGTAAGGAATTGTCTGTAGTTATGTGGTGAGTGAGTGAGTGAATTGCGCCGCCTTAAGCAATTTAGCCGTAAGTACCCCGTGGGAACAATAAGAGAACACACATGTGTCACACATATAAATACAGCCTTACAGACCTTTGGCCTCATAAATCATAAAACATATAAAACGTTTATCGATATTGTAGATACAAAGGTTATTGGTAGTTGTCGGTAGTTATCGGTAGTTATCGGAAGTTGTCGGAAGGGAACGACCGTTTTAATATTCGACTGGTTGTATCTTTGTTTGAGATATTTTTGTTTTCTGTCACTGATTCAAAACATAATCTACGGAGTAAAGGAAAGTAAACACAAGTGTCTGAGGGTGGCTACAAACAAAACAAAATTGATGTATTCTGATACAATTGAAATTATTTGCTCAAATCCAATTTGTCAGCAAATATGTTGTATATACAGCTAATTACACCCTCCTTCCCACACACCCACATCCAAACTATCATCCATGCAGTTTACAAATGCAGGTACGGACAAATAACAGTGAAACCCCACGTGCTTACAATAGAGTCGAAATCGTCAATTGGTTTCTTATGAAAATGGAAAGGGTTTTATTTTTTCTATTTACTTACTGGGATTATAACGTTTAGTTTATCTGTCCAGGCAACGGAAAACCCCCACAGGAAGGGATATCCCGACCCTGCCTACTTCGATTCCAAAAAAGGGCAATTCGCACAAAAATACTTGGCCAACATGCAAGGATACGGCCAGCCGGAAATGGTCATGATGACGTCAGGTAAAAATGCCCCAAATTATATTCACAAAACTTCATAACTGCCATCAGTGTGACGAGTGAACGCTTTAACCACCAGACCACTAGGCCATCCAACTTCCCCTACACCCAAGTAAAGTTACTGGTTAGAATTGTCCTCATCAATCCATGCTTGTTGTAAGAGGCGACTAACGGGATTGGGTGGTCCGGCTTGCTGACTTGGTTGATGCATGTTATCGTATCCCAATTGCGTAGAAAGATAGTCATGATGTCAATCAGTGGATTGTCTGGTCCTGATTAGGTCATAAAGATGGAGCTCAGAGTGCGGAGTTCAACAAACAATCAAATAAATTATTCCCTTACACGGATTTAAAAACTAGCAAGCTAACAAAATTGTTATCTATAATGTATGTATTTACAGGGAAGCTTTGGCCACACTGGATAGACAAATCCCACCACAAGGGGTTGTTTCCCAACAATATCGATGCTGCTGCGGAGTTTGAGTATCTTCTCATCGACGCTGTAGACAAAGGAACCAAAGGAACCCTTCCGTTATTCTTTGAAGTCATCAACGAACCAGATGGCAAGTATGCCAGCACAAACTGGTCGACATTCATCTCATACCACGAAGTGACAGCTAAGAAAATCAAAGCGAAATATCCTCAAATCAGAGTGGGAGGGCCCACGTATACAGGCGCATCTTCTAATTATGACGCCAATGGTTTCAGGGTCTGGAGCAGGATGGCTGACTTCATGGACATGGCTCTGGACCATCTCGACTTTTTCTCTTTTCACTCCTACTCTGGCCTGGACGTTCACGGAGGTACCCACCAGTTCCATGCCTCTGAAGCCAAGTTGTTTGGTCTTCTTGACCTTATTGAGAGTTATGCCGATAAGAAGAAAGGAAAGTCGTTCGATGTAATCATCAGTGAATTTGGCATGGGAAGTATATCGGGGATGGATGAGCAGAAACCGTCACCCTTCATTGACTGGGGCCATATCTATCAACACAACGACCAAATGTTTACCTTCCTTCAACGTCGTGATGTGATGAGAAAGGTTGTTGCTTTCTTGCTGACCTACACTGAGCTTGAAGGACAAGCAAGCATCAACTACAGTTTGTTTGACAAGCACCACAACGTTAGGGATGTTGCTGACGCTTTCAAGTTCTGGATGAACTTCCGCAATGCGATGATGTTTTTGAGGGTGGACAGTCAGTTCCACAATACTGAGAGGAATATTGTGCCTCACATTCTACTGGACAAATCTTCAGGAACTGTTTATATCCTTCTTCACAACCATGACCAAAAGCCCACGCACGTGAAGCTAAATTTTGACAAAGGTTGGCTCCATCCGACAAGTGGAAAGTCCACCTGTGAATATCTGAACTCACAGAAGAAACCGATCCTAGCTAAGGACCAACCAGTTCACGTCACTAACTCCATGGTAACCGTTCCTGCTGAAGCGAGTTGTTACTTCCAGTTCCACACAACCCACAACTTTGCCCATGCTCCGACTGTGACACAGAACACCTACTACTCCAGCGACATGGTCGTCCCCATTCACAACACCGTCGTCGATGTTAAAGTAAACGTCCCGAACATTGGCAACATTGACTTTGTTCGTCTGAGGATCAGTCTCAGCAGAGACAGCAAGGCCACTCACGGACCTCCAAAGACGATCATGATGAACAATCACCCCTTGACCTCCTTCTACTCCCTCCAGGCTGGCCATTCCAGTTCCACGGTGTTTGAGACCTACGAGTATGACGTCAGTGCCAGCATCGTACGACAGCACAGCAACGATGTCAAGATTACCTTTGCTCAGAGTGGGGGCTTTGTGTCTACCATCGCATTAGTGGTAGGCAGACACTAAAGTATTTCTCTGTACGTTCATTATTCTCCATGGCAATGCATTCGAGAGACAAAACAATTACAACCACTTTATGAATAAAGTCAAAGATGCAAAATTATTTTTAATGTTATTTCTAGTACAGTAGGTACATTATGACTCATCAGTGAGCGAGTAAATGTGGGATTTATGTTGTCTTGAACAATGTGTTAGTTAGAGCACATGTCAGCTCAGATCCTCAGTGATGCAGGTAGTAAACATTGACCACCTTTGTGGATCCCAAGAGCATGTTACTTGAAAACCAAGCATCAAGGACTCGAACCAACGTAAGAGACGTAACTCTGCTCAGGTCACTCTGGAGCCTTTTGCTGTGCTCCCACATCCCCAACCCACGTTCTGAGCATATGGAAAGCTCCTGTGTCAATATCATCAAGATAATACAGATTTAAGTGAGTGAGTGAGTGAGTGAATATTGCTTAACGCCGCATCAGCAATTTTGCAGCTATTCGCGGCGAAGATATTTAAGAAGTCGTAGAGTATCATTCGATGACATAACAACATAACAACCTTGAATGCTATTTAAGTTATGTGGTATGCTGGTGGTACGCCAGTGAGTATATGTATCACGTTTTTTTCTGAGCCAGACCAAATTTATTTTCAATTTAATTGAAATTTCGGTTTCAAGATGACTTCTCTTCTCATGCAGAATCCTGTTTAGAAATGCCATCTGCGTCTTTTAGAGGACATACTGTAATTAGTATTTCCTAATTGGTATATTTAGTTACAGAATGTATACACATATACGTAGTGTATTACAATGCTAGGAGTGTCTGCAGCTTAATAAAAACGGCTGCGTATATAACATGAAAG